GGCTTGACCGTTCGTGTTTGCAGCTGTGCTTCGCGGCGGAAGCTGAGAAGAAGATCGGTGGGTCCTCGGCTTGTTAGGTGGTTAACGGCAGATCTGTTTCTGGATCTGTGATGGCTTGTCTCGGAGGTCGGCGGTTGAAGGTTTTGTTTGAGCCAGCTTCTTTCTCCGCTGCCGAGAGAGGTGTCCACCTGACCGGATTGAAGGTTCGTGTCGTCTGTTGGGATTTGCTTGGTGTCAGAGCCGGAAGATTAGGGTTAGCTTTGTGTTCTCTCTTTTTGCTTGGTAGGGGATTAGAGAGTCTAGGTAACGGTTGTCTGTGGGTTGATTTACTCCGGGAGGTTTGCTCCGGGTCTGGCTTGTCGGCGAAATCGGCTTGAGGTCGGATTCGTTTACTCCGGCTAAAAGTTTCAGTTTCGTCGGCGTAGCTGCAAAGGAGTCAGCCTTGTAAACGCCGGGAATGGTAAATGGGATCCACTGCTTCCGTTAAACCGTCCAAGGCAGATCTGAGATTCCGGTGATGTCGCCGGCTAATTTTGACGTTTTGTAACCGTGGTTTTCGTTTTGGCCCAAAGCCAAAAAGCCCATTTGGGATGAAATATAAAAATTAATTATTAAAAAAAAAAAAAAAAAAAAAAAAAAAATGAAAATTTTGATTCATCAAACTGAACATGGCGGGAGACGTAAATGCGTCTTGTAGGTTGATGTAGACAAAAATACGTACTTTGTGAGGTATCCAAGGAACACATTCTTGTGAACGATCATCAAGCTTGTGCATTGTATACGGTCTCAATCAGGGGAAGCATAACCAGCCAAAGATTCGCAGTTTCTCATAATTCGGTGACAGCGCAAACAATTTTTCAAATGGAGACGCCACAGAGAGAACCAGTGTTGGCATTCGATTGATCAAGTAAACGGCAGTTGAGAATGCATAGGACCAACTCTTTCGGAATAAAAGCAATGGACATGAGGGTGAGACTGGTCTCCACGATGTGGCGATGCTTGCATTTAGCTAGTCCATTATGTTCGGGCGTATGTGGCGAAGACGTGAGATGTGAGACACCATGTGCGGCGAGGAAACCACGAAGCGCAACAAATTCACCTCCGTTATCTGAAAACAATGTTTCAAGTTTACATTGAAAACGATTTTCGACTAGAGCTTTGAAAGCTGGGAAAATTTCTTTGACATCCGATTTGCGTTTGAGCGGATAAAGCCATGTGTAGCGGGTGAAATGATCGACTAAAACAAGATAGTATTTGTGGTTTTCAATAGAAAGAATTGGTGAAGTCCAAACATCTGTAAAAAGATATTCAAGTGGTCGTTTGGAAATAATAGTTGTTTGAGAAAAAGGTTGCTTGTGGCTTTTATTAATAAGACAATCAGAGCAAGATAATTGTTTTTGAGAAGAAGATGAAACTGAAAGAGAAAACTTGGAAACAATTGAATTCAAAATAGAAGAAGAAGGATGTCCCAATCTTGAATGTCAAGATGTGAGAGTAGCTTTAGGACCAGAAGAAGACACCATTGCTACCGGTTTTGAAGATGTCACCGGCCACTCATACAACTCATTTTTAGTCCTGCCTTGAAGTAATGGGACCCCGTGCTGAGATCCTTCAGGGAAAAATTCAACCGAGACACGGTTAGTGTTACATAGACGATATACCGAGATAAGGTTTTTCTGTATATCAGGAACACATAAGATTTTTTCAAGAAGTAAAGCTCGAGTTTGATTAGGAAGAACTGAAGAACCCTTGTGTGTAATTGCCATGGTAGACCCGTCAGCAATCAGGACATCATCACCTCTATTGTAAGGTTGATGAAGCGACAAATTATTAAGATCGGATGTGAGGTGATGAGTCGCGCCAGAGTCAAGGATCCAAGGAGCTGCCGGATAAGCCGAGTTCATCGCAAGATTTGCACGGGGCTGCCACGGGCAAAATGGAGAGCTCGAAAGGACACCGGGGGATGCCTGGAGAGCATTGAGCTGCGGGCATCGGCGAGCACTGTGTCCTTGTGTATTACAAAATTGACACTTGCCCAAATAGAGTTTGGAGACATGAGTGTCTGGTCGGCTTTGGAACTGTGACGGCTGCCACGACTTGTTGTTGTTGTTGTACCGTTTGCCGGAGTTGTTGCGGTTGTGGTTATAGCCGGTGCGCTGTTGGACATTGTTGGCGGTGACTGAAAACGTGGATTTCGCCGCAGCTTGCTTGGTGAGGAGTCGAGCTTCATGATTAAGAAGCCTCTCATGGACTTCTGTGATTTGTGGGGTTTTGTATTTTCCCCCAATTTGGTCAATGACAGGCCGATATTCCTCGGGTAGCCCATCGAGAATGAGCTCGATTTGGTCATCGTGTTCCATCGGGCTGCCAAGGAGAGCGAGTTGGTCAAGGCGCAGTGACGGCTTGAATGTATTCGTCAATCGATTTGGTTCCCTTGTTCATCACCTTGAGTTAATCTCGCAGGATATGGAGATGACCACGAGACGGATTGGCATATGTGGAGGCTAGCTTCGTCCAGATTTCTGCGGTAGTGGTAGCGCGGGCCACAAGTTGTTGAAGCGTAGTAGAGATCGTCCCAATGAGTGCGTTGTAAATGAGTTTGTTTTGACGACGCCATTTTGCAAAATCTGGATTGGGAGAAGTGGTGGATCCAACCGTATCAGTGGCGGGTGGGACTTCTACAGATTCGTCGAGATGTTTGACGAGTTCATACCCATCAAGGAGTGAACCTGAAGCTTTCAGGTGAGGTAAGTCGTGGCTGTGAATTTAGAGATGTTTGACATGTTGATGTTGACAATGGCGTTCGTATTGAGAGAGATGGTGTCATCGTGTGTGTTGGATGAGGATGACATAGTGACAATGTCGACGGCGGCTGGAAATGTTTTTTGAAGGTTTTAGGATTTTAGGTTTTTAGGAGCGTTTGCCCTGATACCATATAAGAATTGTATCAATCTTATTATTGAGAGAAAGTTGTTTACACATATTTATACAGACTTTAGAGAAGGACTAGGGTTAAGCTAAGTTTAGAATATTACATTTAGAACTTTTAACTAATCATTATTTACATTATACTCCTATACTACTAAAGGAATGATATTTTTTCTTTTCAGGGAGAGCGAAGCTGCTATGTTGTTAAAAATTGCCACAGATATTACAAATATGTTGAACTTCACACCGTCTAGGGATTTTGATCATTTAGTTGGAATGGAAGCTCATATAGCAAAGATGAATTCTTTGTTATGTATGGAATCTAATGAAGTGAGGGTCGTAGGGATTTGGGGTCCTGCAGGAATTGGAAAAACCACAATTTCTAGAGCGTTATATGGCCGAGTTTCCCGCGAATTTCAGCTTAGTGTTTTTATGGAGAATGTCAAGGGAAGTTATAGCAAAAATGACAGTTACAGCTCGAAGTTGCAGTTGCAAGAACAGTTTCTTTCTGAAATGCTCGACCTCAAAAATATGAGGATAAATCATTTAGGTGTGGTGGAGGAGAGGCTAAACTCCCGGAAAGTGTTTATCGTTCTTGATGATGTCGATAAATTGGAGCAACTAGAAGCTTTAGCAAATGAACCTCGATGGTTTGATGCTGGAAGTAGGATTATAGTGACCACTGAGCACAAAGAGCTTTTTAAGGGACATGGTATCAACCATATTTATGAGGTGAATTTTCCGTCTGCCATTGAAGCTCTACGAATCTTTTGTCAATCAGCCTTCAAACAAGATTCTCCGCCGGAAGGATTCATGGAGCTTGCAGTTGAAGTTACAAACATTACTAATCATCTTCCATTGGGACTCTGTGTTTTAGGCTCCTCACTGCGAGGTAAAAGCAAAAGTGAGTGGACAAGTGAACTGCCAATCCTAAAAGCCAGTCTTCATGGAGACATTGAGAAGATATTAAGAGTCGGCTACGATAGCTTAGGTAATGGTGATAAATATAAAACTATATTTCTCCATATTGCATGCTTATTCGATGGTGAAGGAGAGGATAGGGTGATTCAGCTTCTTGAAAACAGCATTCTTGACATTAAATATGGACTTGGTGTCCTAGTTGAAAGAGCTCTTATTGATATAAGTAATAAACGTATCACGATGCACCATTTGCTACGGCAAATGGGCAGAGAAATTGTTCGTAGACAATCTGCTCATGAGCCTGGGAAACGTCAATTCCTTATAGACGCTCAGGACATTTATGATGTCCTTGCTGATAACACTGTAAGTCTATATATATCATTTCATGGCTTTGTCAATGTGATTCGAGCAGATCAATTTGTTTTATTTCAGTTCCTGACATTCTTTTCAGGGTACAGAAAGTGTATTAGGCATATCTTTCAACATGTCTGAAATCCACGAATTGTTCCTTGGCGAGAGAGCCTTCAGTGGGATGCATAATCTCCAGATTCTAAGATTCTATAGACAATGGTCCGATAAGGCCATACTGCAATTACATGAAGGTTTGGATTGTTTACCTCTACCTCGTAAACTAAAGTTACTTCATTGGGAAGCATGTCCTATGAAACATATGTCTAGTCGGTTTCGTCCGGAATGTCTCATTGAAATCAACATGAAAAGGAGCGAATTGAAGAAGCTCTGGGAAGGAGTCCCAGTAAGTTTCCTGACAAGCTCCATCTGCATTATATAATTTTGTTCCAAATAACAACAATTGTTCCCTGGATTTGTTTTCAGATGCTAAGAAGTCTAAAAAAGATGGACTTGAGTGGCTCTACTAGTCTGGAAGAACTTCCTGACCTTTCAGAAGCAGTAAATTTGGAGCATTTGGATATGGAGAATTGCCCCAGTTTGCTCAAGCTTCCTTCCTCTATCTGGAAACTTAGTATGTTAAATTTCTTAAACCTTTACGCCTGCAGAAATTTGGAGCCTTTTCCAGCAAACTACGCATTGCACTCCCTAAGTTACCTCAGCATCTGTCAATGCTCAAAATTTGTGGATTTTCCAGAGATTTCTAGTGAAATTAAATATCTCGAGGTGTCCTTTACCGGGATACCAGCAGTGCCTCCATCAATTGATTATTGGAGTTGCCTACATACTTTGGAAATGATTGGTTGTGGAAACGTTACAGAATTTCCATGTGTTCCGTATACCGTCTCTAAGTTATATCTGGATTTATCAGGAATTAAAGAAATTCCTCCATGGATCTCGGATCTCTATGGACTGAAAGAGTTGTCGATGGCATTTTGCTCGGACCTACGAGAGATCTCGCCAAAAATTTGTGAGCTAGAACAACTCGAGTCACTTAATTTTAAAGGCTGCTACAATGTAAGGGAATTCCCTGCAGAAATTTTCCAAAGCTTTTGTCAATGGCATGCGTTGGAGCTGACATTGATCAACATTGGGGAGAACAGTTTGCCAATGTATACAGCTGAGACGACTTACGATTTCCCCCTGAATTTGGATCTTGCAGGAAATGATTTTGAGAGTATCCCAGATTCGGTCGTACGGCAGGTGCATTCCCTTAACGTTACAGACTGCAGATATCTTCTGTCACTGCTAGAGCTTCCAGGTTCGCTATCGGAGCTGCACGCATATAATTGCGTGTCTCTTGAAAGATTATCTCACTCTTCTCACTCAATTCACGATCCAAAGCTCATTCTCAAGCTCATCAACTGCTCGAAACTGGATCAAGAAACACGTAAACTAGTTATCCAGCAATGGGCTTGCGGGTATGCGGTCCTACCTGGTAGTGAAGTGCCCGACTACTTCACTCACCAAGGTAGAGGAAGTTCTCTAACCATCAATTTGAACCAGAGGAACTTATATGGATCCTTGAGATTCAAGGCCTGTGTTGTTCTCCCCCCGGGAGATGAGCTAGATGATGTGCCTTTCCGCCTTTTCCAGATATCTTGCTATGTGAGAGGCAGACATTCGACCACTGTATATAAATGGCCAGAGATATATGTGAATGAATCAGATGAAACAGATGATCGGCTTCTGGAGAATCATCTGTTTATACTCAACTCTTATTTCACGCTTGAGGAAGACAACATCCCCGAAAGTGAGATGCTTTTTGATTTCAAATGCTTGGGGATAAAAGTATATCCGGACACCATATCCTCTAATATATTTGGATGTGGTGTACAACTCTTGGAGCCTTGTTCCTGCGAATATGACAGTGTAGCTCACCCTGAGTTATCTACTCTACCGCTTGAGGAGGAGGATGAAGGCAACAACAACAGCATGGCAGTGACAAGGAGAAGCAATAAACGAGAGCGCTCAAGTGTTGCAGAGGGACTAGAGAGGACAAGCAAGAATCTGAGAATTAGCAATTGAGAAAGAGACCAACATTGATATACTCTGTTTATGTGTATATCTCTTTAACATTGATGTTATATATGTGTGACTCTAATTTGGTTCATTAACAGCTTGAAGGAAGTACTAGATGTGCTGATGGTTGTTGAATGCGGTTGTGAGGGAAAGTGACAAAACTTGTTATCAGAAGAAAGAAGTCTTGTGTCCTGATTGGGAGGTAAAAACTTTGTCAACATCCGGAGCTGGTTTTTGAAACGGTTTATGAAATTTTGTGATGTTGGCAGACCATTTCTGCATTGTCGAGATTGATGTGTCTCTAAGTGCTCTCCTTGGTTCGAACACTATACATAAATTGGTTGTGGTAACACTTTGTAGACATGATGGATTTTAGTAAAGGTATAGTCCAGTTTATTGGTGTCTTCTTCATTGGTATAACTATAACAATTTATTCCAGTTTATTGGTGGATTTTAATAAAGGTAGATTCCCATATGTTTTTATAAACATAAGGTTTTATATTCATGCATTTACGTTATGCAATACGAAGTTGAAAATTGGAAGTAAACACCAAGGACCATCTCCGACCTCCACCGTAAGAACCTTAGAACTCTATTCCAAAAGAGTACATGAACTAACATTGAAAAGAAACATTCACTTTGTTAGAATGAAACCTTGTTATGAACCTGAAAACAAAAACACTAGGGTCCTGTTCGTTTGCTTATTTGGGATATGCATCCAAATGGTTCATCCAAATGGCCTATTTGACTAATCCATCTAAATGATGTTCGTTTCCATTTTTTGTGGTTCAGCTGGATGATCCATCTAACTACTTTTCTTTAAAATTTTGTTTGTTTGTTCAGCTGAATGATCCATCTAAATGTTTTTGATATGAAAATTACTAAAATGCCCATGTTTTCATCTAATTATATTTAAATTTTAATCTAACCATATTAATTAATGATCAAATATATATTTACAATCAAATAAATTTCAAATTATTATATTTGACATTTAAATTTCTATTTTCATGATTTTTTTTTTATATAAGAACCAAAGCATATGTTATGAAATTAAACAACAACCAACATATACTAGACTGAAAAATGCAATGAATTGTAAGTCAGGTAACGTTGGATCCAACTTAGTGTTCCAGGGTGATACACTGATACTAGACTGATTCATTGTATTTGGTCCAATTCTGTCGAGGTCAATGTATGAGGCCTAAAGATATGTAATCTGAATTGGAAATATAATGAGTTGTTGTTGAGCCAAAAAAAAAAAAAAAAAACAACCAACATATACCAAACAAACTCCAAATTATCTAAGTTTTCTTTCTCACCACGAAAACCTCACTTACAAGCTGCTTAAGATTCTCTAACTACACTAAAATATTAGAAATCCGATTCTAAGTTAAGAAACAATAAAATCATGAACACAAACACAAGTTCGAGAATAATTAAAGCTGGAAATATTTACTCATCCTAATATCTACACAGAGCATAAAAACTACAAGGATCTACCACCAAATAACACTACATATAAAGGAAATTAGAAAATCCAAATAACAAATAGCTAATCAATCTCAGTTGTTCAACCCATTGCAGATAATGCATCCAAAAATTTCTCTGATCACTCATACAAACACCAAGACCAAGCAACTTTTAGCTATAGCCTACCAGCAAGATAAGATCTTTGCAATGAGAATGATACTACAAAACGTATCTGAATCAATCAATTCCAAATGATTAGAAGATTTCAGCTTTAAGATAATGCATCGTTTCAGCTTTCAAACATATAAAATAGAACCATATAAGGTAGAAGCTTTCAGCTTTCAACAACAATCAACAATAGATGACAATAAATCCAAGCCAAAAGTAAAGTGCAATAGAAAGCAGAAACGATCAGATTCATCATATCTTCTAAAATGATGACATGATAAACTTCTAAAAGGAGACGATAATTGAATAATATGTCTAGTAGATTCATCATATCTTCCGCTGACATATGAGTTTGATACTAAGCAACAACTAAAATTCTTTAATCAGCTGCATCAAGGAACACAAAAGCTAAGCACCATTTTATAGCTTTGACACTTTGAAATGACAAAAAGCAACTAAAGGTACAACAAACACAAACCCTAGCTGAGGTAAAAGTAAGCTCTATATTCAGTATCTTGCAACCTGAATACAATCAACAAACCATAGAAAAATAAGCAAACAGAGTTCAAGCTCCTTAATAAGCAACCACGCCCAAGAGAAGTGCCAAAACAAAAGCCAATAATCAAACCCATGAACTATAAGAATCAAATACACGACTAAGAATCCAATAATCAAACCCATGAACTATAAGAATCCAATAATCAAACCCATGAAAAATTATAGCCGCTCAAATACACACAAATAATTCTATGAAAAACCCATGAAAGATTATAGCCTATAAGCATCATAAACTCAATACAAAACCTATGAATCTTACCTTAAACTAACGACGAAAGATCCGGCGGAGAGAACGGCGAGAGATCCGGCGGAGAGAAACGGCGAGAGATCCGGCGGAGAGAAACGGTCGGCGAAGTGGACGGCTGGCGAGAGATCCGGCGGAGAGAGAGAGCTGATTTTGTTTGTAAAGAGAACAAAAACAGAGAATCGTCGACGAATGAAAGAGAGGAGGATTAGGTTTTAGGAGTGTAATTTTCTAAATTAAGTAGGGGTATTTAGGTCATTTTCTATTTTAGACTGAATCAGCTCCAGTTAACTGCTCCGATCAGACTCAGCCGGATTCCAATCATTTTTTGGATGACTTTATTAAAAATCATCCAACTGATCCATCTCACTGCTCTGTTAAATTGCTCTAAACGAACATCAATATTCATCTCCATTCAGCTGGATCATCTGAATGGAGAAACGAACAGCACCTACTTGTAAAACTTAAGTGAGATTTTTACATAAAGAATATTTAACTCATTGAACGTTGGATGGGAACTTAGGCGAAACATCCACTGCATTATGTGTTGGCGTTAACTCTCACAATTCTATTTAATCAAAGTATCAAACCGATGTGATCTTCAAAGCAACTGCACGTTCGCTTATTGGATGTATATTTTGTTAAGTATATTTTGTCTTTTGAAGACAAGTTTTGAGAAGCAAATGGCCTAGCAAAGCAAGCTCGGTTGACTCATTGCATTTACTGTCTCACTTATTGGACCCAACTTCATATACAAAATGAAAATCTTATCTAAATTATCGTGTCAAGTCTCTGACTGGTCAAAGTGAACATGTGCCCTCCCTTTGTGAGCGGCAGATCTTGATAAAGTAATAAGATTATGTATTTGGAATCTTGGATCTATCCGCTAACAGCTTCTTTTAATCAATATCATCCATTGGTTGCATACTTGCATATAATATCTACTTGCACTAAATCATCTTTTATTGACACATCAACAAATTAATTATAATGTCTTCTTTTTGTCTTCTACCATAATATGTAGTGGATGATGCTGAATGCATTTTCTAATAGTAATTTAAAATTTTCTTTCACTCAAGAGACTTTCACAATTTGACATTTTAAATTATAATGCGGATCTAGATCTGATATATATATTAAAAAAAATATATATATAATGATAATACCAGATGCAATGTATGAAATTGTATCTTGAGTAATTCTTAACGTGTATATATATAGAGGGTGGTCATCAATTTGTAGAAACATCCATCAAACCTAAAGCAGAAAAGAAATGGAAGAGCCTAAGAAAATACATCCTGCTGCTTTGTATACAAAAGTATGTCGTTTGGCTCATCCGACTCATCCTCACACTCTTTCCCCTACACTCAGCAAAAACACTAAGTCCAATTGCTTTACATGCGGGAAACAAGTATCCACTTCTTCTCGGGGTTTCTATTACCACTGCACCATCTGCGATGTTGATTTCCACGAAGAATGTGTAAATATTCCTAGAAAAATATTACATCCTTTTCACCTCCAACACCCTCTCTTTTTAACCTATGAAAAGCATGACAATATCATCGACGGCAGCAATATAAGCGACCAAGGCCCTATGAAGACCAAGGCACATCGGATCCTGGTAAGTCTGGGTGGGGTAACATATTTGATAACTGTACTTGGTGTGGGAAATACATACCAACACCAAGTTCACATCCAAGAATGACAGTTTTTTATCGATGTTCTATTTGTAACTTTTGTTTGGATACTATGTGCACACAAAGCAAACCACCTCTTACTATTGAAAACCCAAAAGGCCATCACCATTCACTCGTCCTTTTCCTCGTCCACTCTTAGTTCCTTGTGATGCTTGTGGATTGGTCAATGCGTCGGAAGCAAGTTATGCTTGTTTCCAATGTAATTATGTTGTCCATCAATATTGTGTTGATTTACCACGCGTCATAAAGATCACCCGTCATCCTCATCGTCTCTCTTTTTCTCCTTACCTTCCACCCCCAAATTCATTATGCCGGGTCTGCTACAAGACAGTCGACATTAAATATGGTCAGTATTCTTGTAAAGACGAGGATTGCTCTTATGTACTTCATACCAAATGTGCAACACATGTGATGATATGGGACGGAAAAGAACTCGAATGGGAATCAGAAGAAACCGGTGTAATCGAAGATATCTCACCATTCAAAAACGTAGGTGATGGTTTGATAGAACATTTTAGTCACGGACATCATCTAAAGCTCAAGAAGTATGATAGTGTACGAGATGTGAGGAAGCAATGTGAGGCGTGTGTCCTTCCTATTCACTTGCATGATTTCTACAATTGTATGCAATGTGACTTTTTTCTCCACGTAGTGTGTGCTTGTCTACCTAAGAAAGCGGATCATTCATTACATAATCATTCTATCGTCCTCGACCCATCTCCTCTACCCAATGATGGTAAACTGCAGTGTTCAGCTTGTTCGCGAATGTCCACTGGTTTCAAGTATAAGTGTACTAAAAAGGATTGCCAGATTAATTGGTTTAAGATAGATGTTTGCTGCTTTTTAATTCCTGAGTATAGCACCAACAAAGTCCATGAACATCCTCTATTCATCGCTCCATTCAATTACGACCATGAACCTTTTCGCTGCAATGGTTGTAAGAGAGGTCTTACCAAGAATCGTCTACAATGTAGTACTCTTTGCCAGTATTCCATTTGTTATGAATGTGCTACGATTCCAAATGAGTTACACTATAAATACGATAAACATCCTCTCACTCTTTGCTATGGAGAAGACACGGACGGCAAGTATTGGTGTGAGGAATGCGAAAAGGAAGTAAATCCGTCCGAATGGTTTTACACGTGCAACATATGTTGCATCACTATTCATCGTAATTGCTTGTTTGGATTTCACGTTTATCTGAAGCCTGGTAACACTTTCAAATATTATAATCGAAGAATGGTGTTCGATTCTCCCTGGAAACAAAAACACATTTGTTTGGGAAGTCTGTCAGTTGGGCTTTGGCCCAATTGGTTTACCTGGTAGTCAGAAATGCAGGCGGCCTGACTACCCCCTGGCATTAGTCGGAAGGCATTCCAAACTCGGATCAGGCAGTGTGGTGGCCCAATTCTACATGGATCGGGAGAAATCCACTCTGTAGCACCTCGGTGCGTTCCTACCGAGGCCGACCGGATCAGCCGATAGGGTTTATCAAAAAAAAAAAAAAAAAAAAAAAAAAAAAAAAAAAAAAAAAAAAAAAAAAAAAAAAAAAAAAAAAAAATGGTGGAAGTTCTTGACAACAAGAGTAGCACTCGACCGGTTTGCAGCCGGTGTGAGGATCGATGTCAGGGTTCCACTTACTTCAAAGTCGATGTGAGGACTGTTTGTGCTTCGTGTCTTTTAAAATTTTTATAGAAATTTATTTACTTATTGTATCAATGACGCATCGCGTCTTTTGTTACTCTTTTTTGGTTGAACATGTTTACCAGCTTGCACCGTGTTCGACCAAATTGTTTTTGAGTTTTCTTCAGTTCCCGCATTTGCTTATGTGTTTGTTTAGTTCCCTCTGTTTTTCAAACTCTGTTCTAGTCTGATGAGGAATTTGTTTTCAGGACGTTCTCTTATTCTGTTGGAGATTCTCATTGTTAGCATAAATGTATGTTTAGCTTTGTAGAAGTTCTTTAGATTATGATTAATGAAAGAGCCGGAATAGTCTTTTCAGCTTAAATTCTTTGTCGTTAATTTGGTAAGTAAATATATTTATGTGATTAAAATATATATATATATATATATATATATTTATGTGTAAGCTTGCAATTTGGTGTGAACGTGAAAGACGCCATATTTTCGCTTTTAGAGAAGGATTGGAACGTGGAGAAAGGGATACAAACCCTAGCTGATATGGTTCTCATCTCTATATCTAGGGAAAGAGGAATCATCATGCATTGTTTGGTACGCTTAATGTCTATAAGGTTATGTTGGACCACCAGCTTATAAGCTGTTATATTTCAATCTTGTGGACACAAACACAATGAACAAATACATTTAGGGCTTGATTGGTTCTCCCGCTAGCACCCGCCTAGCGGTTGTTAGCGGTCGGTTGCGGTTGCTAGCGGTTGGTACCAATCACAGAAACCGCTCCACACCGCTTCGAACCGCTCGAAATCGTTGGATTTCAAAAGCTCCTTCCCGCAAGCGTTTGCGGTTGCGGGCGGTTGCGGTTGGTGTAAAAAAGGAAATAAACTAAAAAAGGAAAATAAATAAATTAAAATATATATCATCATGTCTGATTTATATTCACGTTAATTCTAAAAAAATAATTATTATTTAACTTTAATTTTCTAATATAAATAATTAATTTTGTTTTCAATATAAAAATTTATATGAATAATTATTTATGGTTTTTAATCATTAATCATTTTTAAAAATTTTATACTTTTCATAACTATAGTTTCTGGTGTTTTATAATTTTTTATAATCATATATTAAATTTATTTTGGTATATTTTGGTTTAACCGCTATCGTACCCGCTGATCAACCAGTCGTAAATCTCCCGCAAACGCACCCGTTTTCAACCGCTAAACCAGTCGGTCAAAACGCTAAAAATGCTTAAAACCGCAACCGCCCGCTTCCGCAAACTCACACAACCGCAACCGCAACCGCTGCGTTTAAACCAGTCAAGCCCTAAGGGCTTGATTGGTTCTCCCGCTAGCACCCGCCTAGCGGTTGTTAGCGGTCGGTTGCGGTTGCTAGCGGTTGGTACCAATCACAGAAACCGCTCCACACCGCTTCGAACCGCTCGAAATCGTTGGATTTCAAAAGCTCCTTCCCGCAAGCGTTTGCGGTTGCGGGCGGTTGCGGTTGGTGTAAAAAAGGAAATAAACTAAAAAAGGAAAATAAATAAATTAAAATATATATCATCATGTCTGATTTATATTCACGTTAATTCTAAAAAAATAATTATTATTTAACTTTAATTTTCTAATATAAATAATTAATTTTGTTTTCAATATAAAAATTTATATGAATAATTATTTATGGTTTTTAATCATTAATCATTTTTAAAAATTTTATACTTTTCATAACTATAGTTTCTGGTGTTTTATAATTTTTTATAATCATATATTAAATTTATTTTGGTATATTTTGGTTTAACCGCTATCGTACCCGCTGATCAACCAGTCGTAAATCTCCCGCAAACGCACCCGTTTTCAACCGCTAAACCAGTCGGTCAAAACGCTAAAAATGCTTAAAACCGCAACCGCCCGCTTCCGCAAACTCACACAACCGCAACCGCAACCGCTGCGTTTAAACCAGTCAAGCCCTTAGAGAAAATTGGCGCAAACGTTTAACCTCGGAAGAAGAAAAAAAAAACGTAATGGCCAAAAATTTGGCATCTTGGTTTTTAGGCCCAATAACTTGGCGGGCTTTGCTTCTCCATCTTCGTTATAATTTTTTTAAAAATTCCACAAAAACCCTAATTTTCTGCAATTTCCTTTTCGTCTAACCTAAAAATTAAAAAACAATTCACTCTTTCAGGTTTCGTTTCCTACTTCCTCTAATCACAGCGAGCGAGAGCAAACACGAACAAGATTCGAATCAATTCTCGTCTTTCAAGTATTGCTCCATCTTTCTATGTGGATTTTTGATTTGGATTCTGTCGATTTCTTCTTTGCTTCAATTTTTTTTTGCTTTGCTTCATTCTACATTGGGTCTGTTGATCATTATTTTGATTTCTAAGTGGCGTTTTCAATTAAACACGTCTTTAAGTTTGTGCAATTATAGTTTCTGAAGCTTACATTGTCGTCGTAGTTTCAGTGTTTGGTTAAATTACTGTGAATGCTTAAGTTTTAAGGTTTAATAAAATTAGGGTTTAGTTATACAACTACAATTCTTTTGGTTGAATTCGTTGTCATTGTTATAGAAACCTGTAACTTATTCAGCTGAAAGCTAAAGTTCTAATTTTTATCTTTCTTTAGGTGTTGGCAGAGAATCTATTGGGCCAGCTAAACATGGGTAAGCTGATGTTTGTCTTAGTAATGCCCTTAGCTCTATGTCTGTCGAAGCTAGTATTTTGAAGAAATCTCGTTTTATTTGTTGTTGATGATCGCCAGGGAGCTCACGTCATGAAAAGCGAAAAGAAGCTCGCTTGCAGAAGAACCAGAAAAAACATGAATCTTGGCTTCAGCGTCAGGTATGAGGCAATCTTTGTTTAATTTAACTAAGGTATAGTTTTCTTGTTTTATTGTTTGTTGATGGATAATTGTGGTTTGCTGGATCTCAGAAGTCCGAAAAGGAGAAACGAGCATCCTCATCAGCTCAGAAGACTGGTGAGGTGATCAAGTCTGAAATTTTCCACCAGAAAAGTGATAGTGAAACTAAACATATGGAATCAAGTAGTCCTAGCGGAAAAAAAGATGATGGAAAGTCTTTTATACGTAAGAAAGAAGAGTTTAGAGTCAAATCAAAGGAGAAGAAGATGCAAAAAGTACAGAGAATGAAAGATCTGAATAGACCAAAGAAGAAGACGAAATTTGAAGAGTTTCTTGAAATGGATACACCAACTGTGATATCTGGTGACCAGGATGCTGAACTTGAGAGGAGGCTCGCAAAGAAACTCAAGGTAAAGAAAGGGAAACTAAGGGGCTTGGATGATGGACTGAACGATTTGTTCGAAGGACTTCCATCTGTACTTGATTCAATGGGATCTGAACTTGGTGATTCCCGTAAGAAACGTAAGAAAAAGAGATCCGAACAAAAACAGGACCATGAGGATGTCGATAAGCTAGCAAATGAAGATTTGGAGCGTGAAGAATCTGATTTTTCTGAAGAGCCTGCAGGAAAAAGAGACCGTAAACGGCATAAGAAGAAGAAGTCTCTAGATGAAGATCTAGAAAGTGATCCGATGAATATCACAGATGATGGTGAGTCAGAGACTATTACTTATCACGATTCACCGTCACGCTTGGAGAAAGTAGAACCTCCTTTGCACGAGCATAAGCCAGAGAGCAGCAGCAAGTATGTTGCTCCTCATTTGAGATCTCAGGCCAAAAGTGAATCTGAAGAACTCACTAAAATGCGTACACGGATAAAAGGTATAGCTAACAAAAGCTTTTTATCCTTTGTGTGTTTCTAATTCTGTAATCTTAGTTTGATATGCTTGGTTTGTGTTACAGGTCTTCTCAATAAGATGGCTGAATCCAATGTTGAAACAATAACTGCAGAACTTGCGTCAATATATCGTGTAAGCTCAAATATCCTTCGCATTATTTCCTCTAGAATTGTTTGATAGTTGCATGGTTGATATCTTGAGATTATCATAATCATCCTAGATTTCATTGTTAAAGTTGCTTCAACTCCATTTTGTTATTGTTCTTTCATATTATCTTTACTTCTTGTAACCCCTGTAACATTTGTTAATGCAGTCTGTTGCGAGAAGTGTGTCCTCTCAGATTTTTTGTGAAGAAGTTTTGACAACTTATGCGAGAGGCAATGAACAGTTAAGATCTTTACAACTTTCTGAGTGTCCGCTCATGTTACTGCTAGCCCTATAGTCATGTGTGGAACTACTTGATTACATTGACGTCCATATTAGTCGATATTTTGCTGAACAATTTGTTTTTCCTTGTTTAGGTACGCTGTATTTGCTTCTTTCATAGCTGGCATGGCGTGTCTAGTTGGAATGGATTTTAGTGCAAAGCTTATTGCATCACTTGCTAAATCTTTTGAGGTATGTCCTTTAGTTTTTCCTACATGAATTGTAAGCTAAATTCTCGAGAAGATCCAGTGATGTCCAGATGTCCTTAAGATTTTGTTTTCCATAAAATATTTCACCACCTTGCTTGAAATAGTGCTTACTAACAAGTCCTTAATTTATTTTCAGGATGAATATCAGAAAGAAGACAGTCTCTCTTTAAATGGGATTTCTCTTTTGCTTTCTTATCTTTGCATATTGGGAGTTTGCTCCAGGTAAAATTTTCTGCAGCTACACATAGTTCAGTTTGATCTAGAGCAAGTGTAGTTATTCCCCACTGTTTTTAAATTTCTAGAACTGAACCAAGAATGCTGTTTACTTGTCAGGTTGTTAGACCGATAATCTAAACACACATTTGAGTGATTTTCATGTATTATGGATTTTAGTTTTTCTTACAGCGATTTGTTTAATACGTTTTTACCCAACACCCAACCCAATCTCTAGTCCTCTCACTTAACAGAAACAAAAATGATATTTTTGGTTATTTTCTTGGATGAAATATGAATCTCGAATCTCTCTATATTTGTTTTGCAGTGATCTTATTTATGATTTCCTAATGACATTGGGGAAACGGCTGACTAAAGTTGCTGCTTTCACTATCACAACTGTTTTAGATTGTAAGTTCTATTATTATCATTATTATCTTTCGATGGCCACTTAAGGTGTTTTGAGATGTTTATGTTCCGTCTCTCATATCTTGATAATGCTCTGCTCTGGATAGGTTGTGGAATGAAAATAAGAAGTGATGATCCTCTGGCTATGAAAACATTCATCATCAGCATCCAGAGCAAGGCAAATGAATTGAAAACCTCCTCCGATGGCCAGACACAAATGAGTAACATGATGGTATGGATTATATGAAAAATTGTCTTCTGGAGAAAATGTTATACTATGATTTTTAAGGTTATTTGTACAATGAATTTGCAGATGGAAAAGATGCTTGAAACCATTTCCGCAATAAAGAACAACAAGTTGAGAGCTAAAGAGGATTCCGTCCAGAACACAAGGGTAAAGAAGTGGCTTCAAAAGGTAAATATTTAACGCTCTATTCCTATGTGATAAAATGGATTCCTTCATGACAATCATAAACATGTACGCTTCTGCTTATTACCGGTCGCTTTTGGACTTAGTAAGTTTTGACTAAAAGGCATTTGTTTTTGTCCTTTTTTCTTATAATTTACCCAGTTGAGAGTGGAAGAAGTATTGTTAAGAGGGCTTACATGGAGCAAGCTGCTTGACCCCGAGAAGAAGGGTCAGTGGTGGCTATCTGGCGATTTGGTGGTTGACTCAAACACCGCTGAAGATGTAGCAGAAACAATGGATGCAGAGGTTGTTGAGGCTCAGAAAATGTTAAAGCTAGCTGATGCACAGAGGATGAATACAGATTCCAGAAAAGCTATATTTTGTGTGATCATGAGTAGTGAGGACTACATTGATGCATTCGAGAAACTTCTTAGATTGGATTTGCCAGGAAAACAGGACAGAGAGATCATGAGGGTTCTAGTTGAATGCTGTTTACAGGAGAAAGCATTTAACAAGTACTACACAGTCCTTGCTTCAAAGTTGTGCGAGCACGACAAAAATCATAAGTTTACACTGCAGGTACATTTCTACTATCTTATAGTTACGAAGCTGGTTTATGTAACCATTTTTTTCTCTTATCATCTTGTGGTTTTTCCTGCAGTATTGCATTTGGGACCATTTTAAAGAACTAGAGTCGATGTCACTTCAGAGATCGATGCATCTGGCGAAATTTGTGGCAGAGATAATTGTGACCTTCAATCTTTCTCTTGCAGGTCCTCAAATCCGTGGACTTGGCAAATCCAGTGGAGTTAACTCCAAAACGAATTATGCACTTTCGAATGCTGTTTGAGGCCATCTTTGAGCACCCTGAGAATCTTGTGTGGAACTTGTTCACACGCATAGCCTTGAATCCAGACTATGAAGGTCTGCGCGATGGCATCAAGTTCTTTGTGAAGGAATATGTTGTGAAAACTAATAAGGCAATCTCTGGGAAATTCAGGAAAGCGAAAGAAGCTCTTAACAACGCAGAAGGATTGCTCATGTGATTCGGTTAATTGCCATCAGTGTGCTAAGACCAACAATTTTGAAGCTCTTACGAGTTCACTCTGATTATGTCATAGCGTCTTTATGTTGTACACACTTTCTTCTAACTTAATTAAAGTTTCTACTTTCTATGATTCATCATCATTCACCATCTTTGATAAAAAAAACTTCTTGAAAACGATCTTAGAAGGTTGATGTTCTTTTACAATTGAATTTGATTTAGCCAACTTGGTTAATTCACCCAATCTTAGAGAGACAATAAATATCTAAAAATGTAAATGAGCAAGAACTTTCTTAGAGACCGAGCTACAATCTTTTTCTTGTTTGAACTCAAACAGACTTGATTTACTACGACAAACTCTTGAGAACATACATAATCTTAGAGTCATAAAGCTTTACTAAAAATAAAATCTTCTACTTGGCTCCAATCAATGATACATAAACATCAACGAAGATGTTCTCCAAGCGAAAGAAATCTTCGAGTCAGAAGTGGTGGTACCGTGAGACTGAAACAAACATCAGCCACCACGCTCTTTGTGGGGGCAATTCAGATTTGTTTTTCTGCCAAAAAAGAAATTTAAGGGAAACAATCTGATACAGGAGCCAGATAGAGACATACAAAGGGGCCTATTTAAAGAACAGGCTACAAAGCACTGATTGCGTTTGAAAAAAAGTAATGAGTTTAGGACAAGTGGACGACACAAACAAAAGTAATTTGTATAAGAATCAATCCTCTTATTCCTTTTTCAAGAGACTTTAGAAAAAAAGACATTCCATCAGAGAAATATATTGGAGACAAAAAGAAAATCACAAACATTGCAGCAAATCCAAAGGATGCCATATCATCCCTCTCTCTCAACAAGAAAGAAACCAATATGCATCAAATCTAACTTCGACTAAAGATATTTTTAAGAAAGTTATTAAACCAAATAAAACACAACCATTTTAGAAAAAAAAAACGCTTTCAATGTTCAAATCAAGGTTTTTTTCACTTGGCACTGGCGAGCTGGGAACGGATGAGCTTGGCGGCATCAACCATGTTCTTGAGTGCAGGCTTAACCTCAGTGTACTTACGGGTCTTAAGACCACAGTCAGGGTTAACCCAAAGGATGTTCTGCTCTAGGACAGCAAGCATCTTGTTGACCCTGTCTGCGATTTCCTCAGAAGATGGTATTCTTGGAGAGTGGATGTCGTAGACTCCTGGACCAATTCCAGCACCATACTTCACTCCTTCACGGAACACGGAGAGAAGCTTCTCGTCAGACCTGGAGTTCTCAATGGTGATGACATCAGCATCCATGTCGATGATAGAGTGTATGATGTCATTGAAGTGGGAGTAGCACATGTGAGTGTGGATCTGCAAAAAAACAACAGAAACACACAAGTTATGAGTAACTGAGAAAGCATAACACTACATGAGACTCGATATGTGTAGTTTTTATATAAGCAAACCTGGGTGCTGTCTTGGACTCCACAGTTGGTGATTCTGAAGGAGTGAACGGCCCAGTCCAAGTAGAAAGCATGCTCGGATTTCCTGAGTGGTAGTCCTTCTCTAAGTGCAGCCTCATCAATCTGAATAACACTGATTCCACCTTTCTCAAGATCCTCGACTTCGTCCTTGATGGCCAAAGCGATCTGGTAACAGGTTTCGTGCCTACAATATTTCCGAGCTTGTTTTAGTGGTGTGTTCTTTTTTGGTAGCTATGTTTGGTTTACATTATGGTAATATTATGTACCTGGGCTGGTCGTTTCTGACAAAGGACCAGTTGAGAATGGTGACAGGGCCGGTAAGCATACCCTTCATTGGGCGAGAGGTCATGCTCTGAGCCATTGCAGACCAGAAGACGGTCATTGCCTTGGGACGGCTCACATCACCATAGATAACTGGTGGCTTCACACAACGAGATCCATAAGATTGGACCCATCCGTTTGCAGTGAAGGCAAAACCAGACAACTGCTCCCCGAAGTACTCAACCATGTCATTTCTCTACAAAATTTTGAAAAAATGTCTCATCAGAAACAGTTACAAGGATGTCATTTCAGCCATACAACTTCAAGGGTTCAGGCGATAACATAGTATAATTAAAAGAATCTCACCTCTGGCTCTCCGTGGACAAGAACATCGATGTCAAGTTCCTCTTGGAGGTCAACAACTTTCTTGATCTCTTCCTTGATGGCCTTAACGTAGTCCTCCTCAGAGACCCTAGTAAAAGAGATATTAGAGAAATTGTCAGCATCAAAACAATTCAAGGAAATGTGTGGCGCATATGCCCAAGGATTGAATTCAGGATACTAACTTTTTCGCCTTGTACTCACGACGAACTCTCCTGAGCTCTACAGTCTGTGGGAAGGATCCGATGGTTGTGGTTGGCAGGATTGGGAGGTTGAGCTTCTTCTGCTGAGCATCTAGCCTAGCACTAACATTAGTTGCACGACGGTGGTCAGATCCCTTCAAAGCAGCAGCCTGAGATAACAAGAATAAGACATTAGCTCAATCAAGACAAGATTAGGAAAATAAATCATTGAATGAGAACAGTGCATCAGTTTGACGTCAAACTTACGGCCTTCTGAACACCCTCGTTGGTGACTCTTGGGGAAGACCTCCTTGAAGCCAAAGCCGCAGCATTGGCAGAGAAAAGGGCCTGAAAGAGAGAAAATTATAAGAGTTCAAGATTTTCAGAAATCTTATACACTACAGATAATTCAAGGGTCCACTACTAGAGAAGCATGTGGGTAAAATACCTCGTCCTTCTGACCAGCCAAAGCTTTGGCCAATGCATTCACTTCAACGACCTTCTGGGCAGCAAACGCCAACCATGACTTGATTTCATCATCAAGCTTAGTCTCATTAATAAGATCAACAGCGGTGTGAAGAAGAGAGCAGGAGGTTGAGACCACAAGCTTGTCTGCATCAGAAAAACAACAGATCAACATTTCATATATTTGTTTTTGAATAATCCCCTAGTATTGTCAGGTAAAAGGCAGATGATTCTGGAAGAACATATTACCTTTACCAACAATGCCTTCAAGTGCCTGCAAGGTGCTTAGGGACGCAGCAAAGTCGTTGGCCCAGATGTTCCTTCCATCAACAACACCAGCAAAGAGGTATTTTCCCTCAGGGAAACCTGCCTTGACCAAATCAAGGGTCTTGGTGCCACGAACCAAATCAAAACCAAAGGCAGTCACACCCTTCAATGAAGTTAGGGTCTTGTATGCCTCAGCAGGGATGTCAGCGAAGTAGGTCTCCACAAGAACATTCAAACCAGAAAGAGTTGATTCAAGTTCAGCATATGCACCAGTAAAGGCCTGGAGTTTGTGACCCTCAAGATCCATAACAAGGACAGGCTCGTCAAGCTGAATCCAGGTGGCACCAGCTGCCTTAAGCTCGGTAATCACTTCCCTGTACACAAATCAAAGTCATCATGTCAGTGGTATGTCAGAGGATCATTCATAACATCAAGGATAAGGATGGCATATTAAAGAAAATAATAAAATGATTTCTTACTTGTAGATCGGGAGAATTTTAGGGAGAAGAGAAAGAAGATCAAATGACTTGTCAACACCCTTGGCAGCCTTGGAAAGCAACAAGTAAGAGACTGGGCCAACAAGTACAGGGACGGTGTCAACACCAAGCTGCATAAACATCAAGTATATCAAATCAGAACATAGCAGAAAAAAAAAACTACTTTAGATAACCAGTGCCAGATGAATTTTCTAACAGCTTCTACATTCAATGCACCCGAGTATATTCATAGCATATCAGCATCCTCAGTGAAACACCACTTAATGAAACTAAGCTCAAACACTAAATCCTCAAACCAAAGCCTATATGAATTCTCATAATTAATCACCGAGCCGACAGTAATTTTCTACGAAATGGATACTATTAAAGAATGATACGTACAGCTTTGGCCTCCTTGTACTCATTCACCGCCTTGTGGGATGCGTAAGAGAAGTTGACCTCAGGGCCCAACTCAGGGACGATGTAATGGCTGCATCAATAAAGCATTATCACATTAGTCCACAACTCAAAAAGGACAATGTCACCAAGAGAAGAGCGGTGGAGACTCACTAGTTGGTGTCAAACCACTTGGTCATTTCCATAGCAGGCACAGAGGCATTTCCTCTGGCCATGGAGAAGTAAACATCTAGCCCGATCTCACCACCGGTGTAACCATATCTAGGTGGAACAGCACCAAGCATAGCGGTGGTGTCAAGAACCTGGTCGTAGTGAGCAAAGGTGTTGCTTGGGATAAACTTAGTCCCAGCCGCAGACATCTGTTTCCAGATGGATGACCTGAGATCAGCAGACACCTTCTGAAGATCCTCAGCAGTGCTCTTACCATCCCAGAAAGATTCCAAAGCAAACTTGAGCTCTCTCTTAGGGCCCATACGTGGATATCCAACAATGTGTGAAGCCATTTTGATTTTCTTTTACTGCATTAAAACACATACAAAAACCAAATCAAAAATCAATATCTATATATCATTAATATTAAATGATTTAATTAACAAACTCCAAGAAAACCGTAAAGCATCAATGAAACTGATAGAATTATAATTCACGTGAATCAAAAGGTGAAAAGTTTATGCAGCTTTTTTTAGTCTACCTACTACTACTCGAGAGTGGAATCGAAAACTTTAGATCAAAAACACCAATCATCGATACGAGATGGTTTAAAAGCAGATCTAAACGAACACAAAAACACCAATCATTTTCAAAGAATGATCGTAATCAGATCCAGAAACCAGATCTATAAATCGAACAACACGAAATAGCCAGATCTGAGTCCAATGAACTCACTCACGTAATAGATCTCAACAAATGAATAGATCGAGGAATAAAAAAAAACGAGAATGAAACGAATTACACTAAACAAGTAGTAATAACGTGGAGACGAAAAGGAAATGAAAAGCGAAAGGAAGCTAAATAAGAGAGACGTAAGGAAGACATAGAAAGTCGGAGACGAACCTGACGGAGGAAGAATCGGAGAGGAGAAGGAAAAAGGGTTGGCTAAGAGAAGGCGAAAGAGAGAGCGAGGAAGAAGAGTGGGCTGTGTGAGTTTATTTATAGCCAAAAACTATAATGATACATCGTTGGGCTCTGTGTAATTTGTGTAGATCTGGTGGTGCTCGATATTTTCGGCATATTTAATATTTATTTTTATATCCCAATTTATTTATTTATTTATTGGGCTATGTGTATTTTTCTCTGAAATTGATGTTATTTTCAAAAAAGTTGAGTAGGATTATTTCTTTTTCTTTATTGTCAACTTTCAGTACAGTATTTTTTCTTCCTTCTTACAAATTTTAGAAATAAATCAAGTGTTGAAATAAATTGTGTGCATTAGTAGAGAGCTAAACAAGTTAGAAAATATAGTTGTATCATGTTGGTAAATAAATTAATATTGACATCTTTTATAGAAAAATTGTTTTACAAAATGGCCCCTAATTTTTTAAGGATTATTGTATGACCAATTTATAAGTAGCTTTTTTTAAGGAATTTTAGTTGGGTATGTATTTTTAGAATGAAAACATAAATTGAACTTATAAATAAAATCTTAATTGATTGAAGAAAATATCTTAACTGAAAGTTTTTTTTTTAAAAAAAAAATAGGAGGTTAGAAATGAATAATGATTAGTATTATTAAGGTTCGAATAATTTAATTAACGTATAAATAAAAGTATATTAAGAGATTAAAACGTGAAGGGGAGTTGGTGTACGTGGGGAGATTAGTGGGTGGCAATGGGACCCACCGAGGTTGGTGGAGATTCACATTTGATTATTTTCACAGTTTTCTTCTATTGATTAATAATAATACGATGCCGTTTTTAGTGTCAGCACGAAAGAGTATCGAAATCAAGGCCTGTTCCGTAGCGTTTTGGAAACCTAGTTGGAGAACGAATCGGATTACATATTTATTGGAAACAAATATTTCATATTTCAATTAGGATTTTTTTCCAATTATATAGAAATTACAATTAGGAAACAAATATTTCATACAATTACATATAGAAATTCGATTAGTTGTCAAAAAATATATATATATAGAAAGTTGAATATATATTTTTATTTTTTTCTTTAGAAAGTTGAATATTGTGAAGGAAACAAAAAAAAAAAAGTTGAATATTGTGCCGGTAGCCCAAAACCAGTAACACAATTTTACTTGAACCGGTAACGATCTTGCCTGGCCATTATTAGTCCACTGTGTCAGTAGGATAAAAACTAAAAACACTTGTATCATTGTATGGTTTTGGTAAATAGAGTAGGTAAAGAAACATAAATTAATGGACCCACTGTGTATATATTATTTTGTTTAAGATTCATAAGACTATGAGTATACGCGATGGATGGTCTTAATCTTTTTTTGTTGTTTGCTGATAATTTGGTTACCAAACTTTGATTCCTGACCTTTTACCTCATTGGTTCCCAATTTCATTTTTTCCCTGCTAAACCTTAAATGTAAAAAAAAATGTTTGCGTAAGTCATGTTATTTTTTAGTAAAGAAATTTTGTAAACATATATATATATATATTTTTTTTGTTCTTCATTCTGCATTAAAAATTTCATATATAGTGGTAAACCATGTTTTCACGTATTAGTACCAATTTCAAAATCTATGAAAAAGTTATACTCTATAGCAACTGATGAAGTTTAATCATATCGTGCATATACTACGTCAATATTATAAGCTCTTTTGCGGAAACTAATAGGAAATTAGGAATATTCCAAGTTTGGAATAAAAAATTGTCTTCAACCACTTCCACAACTAGTTTTGGTCTTTTGGAGTATCTTTCTATTTGTGTAGGTGAATTTTGAGTTCAGTAGGAATTTATCAAGAAGATGCTACTGCAAACAAAAACCAAAAAGTCAACAAAATGTTTATGTGATAAACAAAACTAGTACTCCACTATATGTCTGGTAAATTTAACTATAAATCAACTGGTAATCACAGCAAATAAATTGAACAACATTTAATTACATGAGACTTTAAGTCTGCAGGACAGTTGCATATGCTTCCTCGACACTGGTTTGTCGGTGGATGTAGATCTAGTATGTACACAAATAAAGATAATCACACAAACATTGAATGAAAGTGAAACTTTCACTATTTTTTTCTATTTAGTTGTTGTACGACATCAAGAATTATACTTTCAACAATCCAACGAAAAACAAACAAAAAAACTTTTCTTTAGGAATTATTGAACGAAATCATGTGTGTATTATAAGTTATAACAAATTATTGGATCAATAAATTACTTGTTTACCAACTTTTTTTGGCATCTTGAGTTTGGTAAATCATACTATTACTAGTATTCCAACCCGTACTACGTACGGGATAAATAAATGAATTAATACTTGATATGTAATTTTATCACACAATATTTTGGATAGTGAAAGTTTTGAACATCATAAAATATTTGTTTTCTGAGTAATATTGATTATTGAGAGTGAATCTGATAAATACATTTATTTGGCTCAAAAGTAAAATTGAGAGACGTACAATACGGAAATAGCGTTTAACATATATTTTTGTTTATTTTTTAATGTGATAAATAGTTAGAGAAAGACAATAACCAAAACAATACAATGCAAATTAGTGTAAGACTATAGTTTTGTTTTTACGAACTTGAGAATTTTACTAATTTAACTTAGAAGCATACATATGACAAACAACTTAGAGAAAAACTTTGGAATGAAAACTTTAAAATCAACGTACCAAGATAATGAAGGACTGTTACACTTCACTTAGATTTTACTGGATTTGAACAATCCTTGTTGCAAACTTATCTACTAAACGTCATTTCTTATGTTAACCTGCACATAAAATCAAAATGGAGAGTAAATGAACCACTTAATTAGCATTATAATATAACTGAATGGTTAGACAACATAGGGGTGCACAAAAAAGAAAAATAGGTTAGACTACATAGCTTGACCATAACAAATTTGACTGCCCATTAATATCAGATAGCATAAAAATTTATACAAATTCATGTATGTCAAATGAAAAAATTTATATGATAAAAAGAACAAATAACAGCAAGCTTCCGAGACAACAAAAGGAATATTATACCTCATTAGAATTGAGAAGAGAATTAGTAGCTTTCGTTCCACTATTTCGTAATGGGTGTTTTAGTTTATGTGAATGTGCACATGTGATTAATATATAGGAGTTAAAAGCGGTGAAACCTGCAAACGTAATGAGTATTTTTTAAAACATGATTAAAGAGGTTAATAAAGAAAAGAGTTCATATAACTGAGTATAATGAAACAAAAATAAGAGACAAAGATAGATAGAGAAAAATATGAAGATAAACATGAAAGATATGGTGAGAATACGTACTTGTAAATCTGGAAATCATCTTCTTATACTTGCGATAATGTGAGAGATAGAATTCTCAATTCTGTATAAAAGAGATTATGTGAGAAAGATCTAGGGAAAGGCATCTCCAACTGAATTGACCAAAAAATTGATAATTAATATGAATAAATAGAAAATAAATGAATGAATATGAATAATTCTGAAGCTTTTACCTAAAGAGAATTTGAATCGCAGGTTTTTTGAGATGGAGAGGAAAAAACATGTATGAAGAAGAAAATAGAGAAAGATCAGGAAAAAAAATGAATTCATTGGAGTTAAATAGAGGATGAATCAGTTACAAATCAGCTTGAACGTGGATGAATTAGTGGGAGCAAAATTAGGGATTAAATTCTTGTTACAGTTTTCTTAGATTTTTTTCTGAAACGATATGAGAAAAGAAAAAAATCTGTAAAACAATTATTTCGTTTAGGGTTTCAAAAATCATGGGCTTGGAAATTTGGGATGGGCTTACATTCTTTTACGAAGCCCAAATTTTTTGTAGTTAAAATTCGTTTTTTTTTCCCACGTTCTCATTTTTTTGAATTGTTTTTTTTATGTAAATTAAAATATTAGGATGGGCTTTATTCTTTACCGAAGCCCATATTTTTATCTTTTTATATTTCATTTTTTTTTGTTTTTCCCCACGTTCTCATTTTTTTTTAATTATTTTTATGTAAATTAAATTATGAAAGAGAATCCTATGTGTCAAAATTTTAGTGGCCAAGTGACTTGTGCTTTATAAGATAAAGGATACACGAATCACAAGATCCAAAAGTATCTTATTGCTGGCTTATAAAACTTTATGATTAAACTACGAAAAGGCATGCTTTTAAACATGTGAAATAATAAAACTATATACGCACACGTTATGCTTTAAATCAAAAAGTTGGTGATTTTTTTGAATATATTTAAAATCAAAGTTTATTTACATAAAATCTCAAACATAAGGCAATGCTTCATGCTAATAAGAGATTTACAAATAAATATGAACCACCAAAAAATATCGTAAGCTTAATGGTGTTACCATCTTAGATAGAGTCCATTATTATTTTACAATGCTCATAGAAAAATCCAAACGGCAGTACCTTTCTCATTTCTCAGGTCCAATACAATATAATTTAGAACAATACACGTTGTGTTTTATTTTCTGAACTTTGTTATTATAATCAAATTAGCATCACCAGGATTTAAATTCCAGGTAAAAATGAGTTGATAATGCATTAAAGCGCCAAAGATATTGTTACTTGAACAGTATTTAACAGTCTTATATAATATAGATTCCATTCTTACAAATACTAATCTAGATAGACATTACTGGTTTCATTTAAAGCCTGAACCAAAAAAAAAAAATCTCATCAAACTCCTACCATGGACATTTGTAAATATGCTTTCGTAAATACAAGCAGAAAATCTTGATTGATCCATAATAGATCCGATACAAAGGACCAGATGTTGGCCACGAGCTTATGGTAGTCACAAAGCAATATCCCATTTTTTTACTACTGCGATTCAGAGAACTCAGACATAACTGAGTAAGATGTTTTTGACTACGACATACCACTTCTGCATCGTTTTGGATTAAAACTCAACTAAATGTTGGTGCGGTTTTAAGTCTCCCAATCTTTCATCTTCTTGCTCCCTTTTGGTTTTGCAATTGGAGCATCCATGCCTGCCATTTTCTTGTTGTATTTTTCCCGTAGAGGATCATTGGAAGTCCACCTGCACAATCATCCATTAGGCAAGCAAATTATCAAAATCTACAACTCGTTAAAAGAAAAAAAAAACAAAGATGCAAGAATCTCTCAACACAACCCGGTTCACATTTGCATGCAATAATTCAGTTCAGTTCTCAGCTTAATGTTTCTACTCAAATGCTAATAAATCAGATTTCAGAAGCCTAAATGAGAGCTATTTTCATATCAAAAGTCTAGGCCTAACCAAGATGCTTGAAAAGAAACACTAAAAGCAGAACACTTACGGGTTACTCCAATCTGTTGTGTCCTCATTGACAAGGTGAGTCCATTTAGTTCTTCCACTGCGACCAAAGTGCTTGACTTGCATAACTTTTGGCAGAATCGATTTGTCCAACCTATCTTCTCCGGTTGGAGCAGAGAAGTCGCGCTGAAATATACCATCGGTTCCAGCAGAACCTGCCTCATCATCAGGATCTGCCTGGAAGAAGGCACCCTTGTGGTAGTATTTTTGCATAAAGTTCCATTTCTTTTTCGGTTGAGTTGATGAAGGTTTCGGATTCTTCCTCTCCCATTCTCTCCTCTCCTGCTCTGTCATATTCCTCAACTTCTCTATTTCTTCCCTCTCTCTCAGCATAGCTTCCCTTGCATCTCTTTCTCTCTTGATCCTACCGATCTCTCTTGTCTTCCACACTTCATACTCCTCAGCTTCATTGAGTTCGTCATCAGTTTCCACATCTCCAATATTTGCTTCCTCCAATAGAATGTTCTTCCGTATCTCTTCATCTTTCTTAACTTCCTCAACCACTATTTGCTTTGTCTCTATTTTTCTTTTCTCCAGTTTCCTCTTTGCTAATTCCTCAAGAGCTTCTTCTTCAGCCTCAAGCCTCTCTCGCTCTGCAATTGTATCTCTCTCAGCTTTTGGCACAAAAACAGGCTTAATCATGGCAATACCAGGCATCTCATCTTCTGAATCAGTCTCGTACTCGGACTCCTCCTCCTCCTCTTCCTCCTCTTGTAGCTCATCTTCTTCTTCTAAAGGAAGTAAAGCAGCCTCCTCTTGTGCTCTTCTAAGATTTTTCTCTCTAATTCTTCTTCTTCTTTCTTCCAGTGCATCTTCATCATCATCCTCGTCTCTAGTCTCTTGATTCCTCGAATCTTCTTCTTCCGTAGAAATAATCTCAGCCTGTCTAATTCGCCGATGATCAGCTCTAACTTCGTCACGGTTTTCAACTCTGGTCTGAGCTAAACGGCGCAGCCTCGGATCATCCTTCCTAGCAACACCCAAATCATCCTGCTTTTGAAAAGCTCTATCCAAAACAGAAACCGTCTGCATCCTAACATCCTCATCTTCTTCGGCTTCCTCAGCCCACTCAGGAGCTTTTCCTGGCCAATACCTTCTCACTCTAGTCTGTCCAATACCACCTTGTAGTTTTGCCCTTACAGCAATTGCAGCATCACTCACTCCAGCTGTGACCGACATATTTGCACTTGCGAGTAACCAGACTCAATTTTATTAGCTAGCTATCTGTTTCTGAAACATAAAAATAATACAGGGATTAGATTCAAGCTGCATCATTAGTATTCCCCACGAAAAGAAAAGAGCTACTTCTAAATCAATTCGCATACCTAAAATCTTAATGAGACAATGATGTGTGTGTGTGGATGCGTATATCATATAAGCACACAGACATGAAGAAAGGACGCAAGAGAGAATTCGAAGATTGTAGATTTTTCACGAAATAAAAGGCAAAAAGGGATCGATCGATCTCTATCAAATCTGAGTTATTTCTCAAACCTTGGATCCACAGAGTTAGGAAGCTAAATCACAGCACAAATTAACAAACGAAGACGACAGGTATACAAATCAGAATCGGATAAAACCTAAAACACGAAACTCGATGAATCTGTAAGAGAGAACAAGTAAACATAAATTAACAAAATCCAGAAGAAATTGAAGAAGAAAATAAACGAACTTACATTGTGGAGAATGAGGGGATTGCAATTCGGAGAAACAATGCGAAAGAAACCCTAAGAAACTGTGGCGGGACGGAGGAGCAGAAGACGGGTGAGGTCGTGAAGCCGGAACAAAAAGCCACGCGAAAATCTCATAATAATATCACAGTAATTTCTAGTGGGCTTTCATGGGCCTGTGGAATATTTGGTTTATTCGGCCCTTCAATTTAAATAGCTGTTATTTTTATTAGTGTGTAAAAAATGCTTTTACTTGTTTCAAAATCGAATGGTTTTTTTTTTTTTCCGTCTAAAGGATTCATTGATTCATCGAATGGTTCATTATGAGAACCAATTAAGCATTAGTCGGAGTCAAGAAAATATACTCCTCCCTCATGACTTACGCTTTCCTTTAAAAATAGTAAAAGTATGACAAAAGTATGAATATTGTTGATTACCCAACTGATGAGTTAGAACTTAGAAGGGCATTATCCTTGGTTTTATTTTGCGAGACTTGAGCCACTCTACATACCTCCAACAACAATACGTTCAAATAACAATAATACCTAATGTGCTTCTGTGGTACGACGTTAGAAGTGGACCAAGAGCTAAGGGATCCTTTAGTTTTATCACAGCAAGAATTCAGTCCGCGAAATATACATTTGTACAACAGGCAAATTGTTTAAAGTTTCTATTCTATCATCGCCGCAAAACGAAGGAGAACCTCTTAAAACATGAGAACAAGAGCAATAGAGCAAGAAGAAACAGTGTTCACACCAAAGAAGGACCACGTGCGTCTGTTTATAAAATAGATATAAGTACAGTATATATACTGGTATAAGTGTATAACACATGTATACAAATCAGAAAAGGATAGAACCTAAAACACGAAACTCCATGGAAATTATCAATAAACCAAATCCAGAAGAAATTGACGAGAAAATAAACAAACTTACAATATGAAGAACAGAGAGCGAGAGGATTCCAATTCGGCGAAACTGTGCGAAAGAAACCCTAAGAAAATCGTGGCGGGACACGGAGGAGAAGAAGACGGTGGAGAGGTCTCTTGAAACCGGAAACGCTAACACTTAGCCACGCGATAAAATATTTAGTCTCAGAGACTTTAATGGGCTTTTACTATTTTTGTTTGTATTGGGCCTTTAGTTTAAATAATGTTTGTTAAGGAAATTCGGTTTCTGGAGGAGAAGGATCAGTTTCAGAAGTGACCGACACAAGTGACGACAATATTGTAAAGCCTCCTCTGTTTTCAAAACTTGTTATAAAAGAAATCCTATTGTTTCTCTCTTTCCTAATAATATATGCTAATATGAACAATGATTATAAATCTAATCAGAAATCAGAATGCTGTTTGATTCAAAGCTCTCATGTTATTTCAGGGACTTAGAAGAAGTCGGAGACAGAGAACTTCTTAAGACCATGATCCTCTTTACCGACGGAGGTCCTTCAAATATGTTAATAATATAATTAACGAATCCTTGACTAGAGTTAAAAGTGTTGATGACCCACGCCAAAAAAGAAAAATAACACAGAAAAAGTTGTTCACTTTTTTGGTTTGCTCGACTTCATAATCAACCAGGTCAATTAGTTTTCAAACTTGTCTAAACTCAACCAAAATCTTCCTAATTTCCCCTAAATTCAATATCTTTTAGTTGGAAATTTTGTTCAAGTTTGAAAGAGAAGACCATGTTTTTGGCTATTTAATGCAGTTAGATTGGTTGTGAAATTAGGTAAGAAATTGACAAATAAGAGCGTTTTGTGCAATACATGATCGATGTTGTCTCTAAAAATGATAATCTAGTATATTTACAGTTTAAACTTTTAAACTCCCATTGGAGACATGCCAAAAAGTTTTTTACAACGTTTTCTTCTTCAATTAGTGGACATATTGGGATCGTTTTCTTGACGATCTCTTAGCGTTTTCTTTTTGTTTCTTCTAATTTTCCTCACCAACGGCCCTACCCACTTCCAAAGCAAAGTTCCTTTAGAGCTTAACTTACTACTTGCTCTAGAAACCTTACGTGACGACTCGTTGGATGAAAGCAAACGACTTTGTGGCTCTACCACTCTGGAAGAAGATGGAGGATGCTCCTCAATAATACTTGTAGCTTCTTCACTTTCTCTTGTAATTCCTCTAAGACTTGTATCATGGTCTGTTGCAGCTGTAATAACTTGGACATCACATTGGATCACCCTGCAATTATCACCTAGAAGCTCGTTTTCCCAACTCACTGTGTGGAAAATAAAGTCGACTTCACTACAACTGGGATGCATTTGTGTATCATAGAAGATAAATATGTGATCCCATTCAACTTTTGGAGCTTCCCTCGGAGCCCAACACTGATATATTCTCTCTATTTTATCAACGGAGTCGAACATGCCTTTCCATGTGCATATGCACCTAATGCCAAGACCTACGGTGTTGTGGTAATCATCCTGAAATGATACCGCAACTGACATAGCAAATCCTGAGAGAGCTTTTCGTGTCGAATGAGATAAGTTTGTCCTTACATTTGAACCTTCTTGCAAGAGAAAGGAGGATCTCTGACGTGCGTCTGCAGGAATACAGATGATGACTTCAGGTGCTTTGATGACTTCCTGTACAAGAAAAATCCAAATCCAGTCAGATACATGTGCCAATTAGACTTAGAATATATGGAGAGAATAAATTTTAAAAACCTGTTGGTGTGCTCTTGCTAAACTTGATATTCTAGTCAGACCTTTCTCTAAGAACTCAGAGATCACTTGTGAAGAAAAATTGAAACAATTACTAAAGGTGTAGTGTCTTGGAAGCTGCTCAAAGTCCAAACAAACAGACTTTAAATACGCACAACCATGAGCATTCAAGAATTCTAGATTTTTCGGAAGTTGTGGCACTTCTACTATGGCGGTTCCACCGAGATATAACTTTCTTATATTTCTTGGGAAACCCTTAATTTCCTTAAGCTCTGAGCAACCGGACAGATGTAGGACTTGGAGAGATTCTAAATTGACCATGTCAGGAAGACTTGTCAAATGAGAACAATCTCTCATGTTCAAGTGGACAAGCTTGCCAAAACCTTGATTATTTGAGCTTACTTTTACCAGGTCGGTTACACTCTCCAAGTCGATATGCTCAACATCTTGAAAGTTTTCTAGAAGATTCAAAAGTTTTTGGCGGTCCAACTTAACTTTTTGAGGGGAGTGACTCACAATGGATATTGGTATTTCCCTTATACTCGTTCCTTGTAGATGTAGTTCCTCAATATTTGGTGGAGCTCCTTGGAAACCTATGATCTCTGTGCAACCTGAGAGATTTACAACTCGAAGATGTTGCAATTGACTTGTAACTGGGAAGTTCTGCAATCTTTTACAACCTTGTAGATCAATTATCTCGATATTTTGAGCTTTGAAAGGTATCTCAAATTCAACTAGCTGTTGGGAATGACAAAGCCTTATCTTCTTCAACATCTTAAGGTTCTGAGCAAAAAAAACATACAACTGAAATATGAATAATAATAATGTTTTAAATGGGGTTATAAGATAAATACCGGACTTATCCTACCTTCGTTCCTGCCCCAAGTGTCTGAAGCTGACTGTACGGCATACTAAGTTCAACAAGGTTGTCAAGGTCAAGATCTTGAGGCAAGGATTGCAAAGGATAGTTCTCCCAGTGGAGGAGTCTCAGCCCACAAGGCAGAGAATCGAGTCCCTTGGGAAAGTTGAGTCCATGAACATCTTTAGAGCAAGAACTGTATATCTTGAGGAATCTGAGATTAAACATATTCTTGAAGGCGTCATGTTTAACATCGAATTTCAAGTTTGATGTGTCGAGAATTATGCTTTCTATGTCTTCAACGACCTGAAAGAACAAGGAAAATCGATAAATCAAGAATTTTCTTTAAAGAGTATGGATATAGAAGAACTTAACATACCAAGCCATATTTAGGCGATGCACTGGATTCTCCACTTGCTTTAAGGTCATCATCTTCTAGTAGATATCTGATACTATTAGGTTCAAACATTCTTGTGGAGCTCTCAGTTTCTCTACTAAAAATGATTTGACAGATGTCTTGGAACAAATTATTCATTTGCACTGTGTTTTCTGATATAGTTAACACACACTTGTCCACAAGAACATCTATTCCAATGCGTGGAAGGTAACGACAACCTTCAAGGAATTTCACCACATAGTTGACATTTTCTCCCTTGAAGAAAAAAGCAATGTCCAAAACAATGTTCTTCTCGTTGTCATCAAGTGCACTATATACTTTCTTTAGCACATCCTGTATCTTTTGGGGAGGACATTTCTTGAGCCCGAGGAATGTGGCCTCCATTTCTGACTTCTTCCCCTTCAGCTCTTGTCCATAAATGCTGAGAGCTAACGGGTTTCCATTAGCATAGTCAATCACCTTCTTTGATAGTTCTTTGTCATCTTGCTCAGGCACGTCGTTTCCAAAGGCGTTTTGGGAGAATAACTGGAGAGCCTCTTGCTCGTTCAAACCTTGAACCTCGTATATTTGGTTGATCTGACAAAAGGCAAAAACTTGTTTATCTATGGAGGTCATGATTATTAGGCTTCCGGGACCAAACCAACCAAGCCTTCCAACGAAAGAATCTGTAGCCAGAGAATCACGCACATCATCTAGGACAACAAGAATCCTTTTATCGCATATTTTGTCCCTGTAAATGCTCGGTCTCATAATGTAAGAACTCTTTATATCAAACTCTTTCTTAAGAATGTTACCAAGTTTTTGTTCAAGCAAACGATGAAGTCCATCTTTACGAAACGCTTCATCAAAGTTTTCGATGAAACAAGAAGCATCATAATCAGTGGACATGTGGTTAAAGACTGCTTTAGCAAGCGTTGTCTTGCCTATGCCAGGTATACCCCAAATTCCTATGCTTCGGACATCGTACGGTTGCTTGTAAATCAAGTTTTCAATCTCTAGTAGCTTCGAGTAAATTCCAACTCTTTCTGCAGGATACAGCTTCCCATAAACATCTGTGACGATCTCTTCCACTAGTTCGGAGTCCGTGAGTATCTTATTGCTTGATATCCTGCCCCAAAAAAAAAAAAAAAAAACACCCACAATAACTTCAAAGATACAACTTAATCTATACTCCTGTATATTTCGTAAATGATAAAACAATCTCCAAAACACTAATTAATTTTGCATTGACAATTGAAAACATTATCTAATTTTAAACAAAAAATTTCTCCTAAAACATCAATTATTAAAATACGGAGAGAGTGATTTGATGATTAAATAACAAATTATATATTTATAACATTATTCAACTAAAGTTTTAAGAACACTAAAAAGTTAGGACTTGCAATTTTTTTTTTTTTAATATGAACCTTGATTTGTGAATTGTTAAGATTCCGGCCTCCGACCTCCTCTTGCCCCAAGCTAGGTTAAATGAATCGAAGCCGTAGTAGGGAACCATAATGCGGATCCCGTTGTCCCTCCGAGGCTTGATGACCTCTATGAACATATGACTCCAAGGATCGTTTGCCTCCACTATATTGGAAATGACCACCACAGAAATTGCATGATTCTCATCATTGGAGGTCCAACTGTTCTTGTGTCCGTCTCGATCCATGAACACAGAGATGCCTTCCCGGCGTAATGCGGCGAAGAGGTGGCTGACAAAAGAGTCTACCGTTCCTTTGTAGATGATATTGACTCTACTATTTTGAGCAGCTTGTGGATTCCTAAACTCCATCTCTCTCTCCCTCTCTCTCTATCTCAATTCTCCTCTCCAACGAACTCGAGCATACGGAAAATTACTTCACCAAGATGAATATGCGCCAGTATTTCCTCTCTCTCTCTCTCTCTCTCTTTTTTCTCTTCCAATCAAAACTGATTGTAAAAAGAGCTTTGGCTAATGTATAAAGCAATTAATAATTGTGTCAAAAATTTATATGATGGCCTGTTAGGTAACCCATCCAAAACTTTCATTTGATATACATATATAGAAAAAAAAATCATCATGATAATTAAGAGACAAATAAAAACAGTTCAACGTGTGCTTTAATCCATTTTATTTAACACAAAAAGCTTATTATTTTTTCTTAATTTTCATGATATTTGTTGTTATATAGTGTAATTGCTAATTTATAAGAGTGCTAATATATCAAAATAAATGGGTATTTTGCTTACGACTAATTTAACTTTTTCTTAAGCATCAATTAAGTCGACACGATCCGATCTTTACATAACACTGTCGGACAGCCTGATTCACATCTCTTACAAGTTACAACTAACACAGTCTTCGGCAACTAAATGAAATCGAATTCCAATAAATAAATAACCGTATAAATGAACCTTTAACGTTTCACTTAAAACATTTTCCACTATCACTATTCACTAATTTATTGTGTAGCAAATTTGAAAGTTATAGTCAATAATAAGAATCAAAGAAAAGTCCGAAGGATCTTTTTTTTTGGGTAGCAGAAGTCGTTGAAGACATTAATGATTAATTGGAAAAAAAAAAAAATGATTAATTGGTTGAGGACCTTTGTTTAAGACGAGGGACCAATCGGTAGGTGATGCCGTGATGAATACGACTTATGGGTTGACAAAAGTCAATGCACAGAACCGTTCATGATATTCGGGGAAAGTGGTAAATTAACATAAAATTTATACTAATACTTGATTTGAATTAAATAACAATAATTACTACTGATCAAGTGACACAAAAATCCAGACCATATTTTCTTCTGGATTGGTCCGACCATAAAAAGAAGGATTGACTTATCTTTAAGAGTTTCCAAATACAATTGCAGAACAGAGCATAAACTTTGGATCCTTTGAGTTTTGACAACACCCCAACATGGCAAGCTCCTCCTCCTTTTACAGGGTAAAAACAGACGCTGATACACCCCAAGAACAAGTGTTCATTAACTTCCGTGGAGTTGAACTGCGCTACAACTTCGTCAGCCATCTTGAGAAGGGCTTAAAAAGAAATGCGATCAATGCCTTCATAGACACAGATGAAGAGATGGGCCAAGAATTGAATGTTCTGCTCAAAAGAATAGAAGGTTCGCGGATAGCGCTAGCTATATTCTCTCCAAAGTATACGGAGTCAAATTGGTGTTTGAAGGAGCTTGCAAAGATGAAGGAAAGAATGGAGCAAAGCAAGCTTGTGGTGATTCCAATCTTCTACAAGGTGGAGCCTGCTACTGTTAAAGAACTAAAGGGACAGTTTGGCGATAAGTTCAGGGAGCTGGTGAAGTCTATTGACAAGAAGACGAAGAACAAATGGAAGGAAGCTTTAAAATCTGTTCCTCTATTGATGGGCTTCGTGTTGGATGAGAAAAGGTAACTTCTATAATTACTTGAGATCTCCTAAACTAAGTTAGAATCATCTCATAGCCACTCTTTTGTTTGCAGTGATGAGGACGAACTCATCACGAAAGTCGTCAAGATGGTTAAGCAAGTGCTAAAAAGACTTTCACAGGCTTCTCTTAGTCCTCCAGAGTGTGTTGGACTATCTCCCCAGAGACACCAGGAAATTCATGAAAGCCCTTGGGGAATCAAACACCGACTTAAGCAACTTGAAGAAAAGTTAAAACTTGGATTCAAGGAAACAACTCGTACCATTGGTGTGGTTGGTATGCCTGGCATAGGTAAAACAACTCTCACTAGGAAGCTGTACGAGAACTTGAAGGATGGATTCTTGAGCCACGTGTTAATCCCAGATATCCATGAAATTTCAAAGGCAGACGGGTTGCACTACTTGCCTACTATACTCTTAAATGGTCTGTTGAATGTAAACGATCCCAACATTGAGACCCTCCAAGCTGCACATGAAGCTTACAAAGATCAACTACTAAAAACCAAAGTCTTTGTTGTTCTTGACAATGTTACTAGCAAGGAACAAATCGATGCTCTTCTTGGCAAACGCGACTGGATTAAGCAGGGAAGCAAGATTGTTATTGCAACAAGTGATAAGTCATTGATACAAAGTTTGGTCGATGAAACTTACGAGGTCCCTCGATTAAGCGATAGAGACGCCTTACAACACTTTGTCCATTATGCATTTGAAGATCAAGAAGTCAACACCCTCAGGCTAGGAAATTTTTCGAAGTTGTCTAAAGATTTCGTGCACTACACAAAAGGAAATCCACTAGCTCTCAAGATATTAGGTGCGGAGCTTTTGGGAAAAGATGAGACTCACTGGAGCTTAAAACTAAATGCATTGGATCAGCATCATAAAAGTCCACCAGGACAAAGCACTAGCAAGATGCTTCACAACGTTTGGAGAGGGAGTTATGATGGATTGAGTCAACAACAGAAAGATACGCTTCTTGACATAGCGTGCTTCAAGTCGCTAGATGAGAATTACGTAAGGAATTTATTGGATTCAGATGACCATTGGAGTATAATAGAAGATCTCGTGAACAAGTTCATGATTAATATATATGGTGGCAAAGTAGAGATGCATGAGACATTGTATATGCTCTCAAAGGAACTTGGTCGAGAAGCTACTGCTATCGATGGAAATGGGCGACATAGGTTGTGGCACCACCACACCATAACTGATGTGCTAAAAAAACAAAAGGTAATACTTGATTTTTATATTTACATGTTTAGTGAAGGTTGTCTAAAATCCAATTGTAATTTGTGTTGTTGTTTGCAATTGGTTAACAGGGAGCTTCTCATGTCAGATCTATATTCCTTGACTTGTCTGACATAATAAGAAAAATGAGCTTCCACAGCCATGCTTTTGCCAAGATGAGAGATTTAAGATATCTCAAAATCTACAGCACTCATTGTCCTCAAGAATGTGAACGTGACATTAAATTAAACTTCCCTGAGGGACTCCAGCTACCGTTGAACGAGGTGCGATATCTCCACTGGCTGAAATTCCCGTTGAAAGAAGTTCCACAAGATTTCAACCCGGATCATTTGGTTGACCTTAAGCTTCCTTATAGCGAGATTGAACGAGTTTGGGAAGATAACAAGGTGTGTAATAACACATCAGCTGATTTTTTTTCTTTGAAATGACTAAAAATCAACTTGAGAAGTTTTTGGAAGTGTTTTTGGAAGTTCTTTGTATAATGAGTTACTCCTTCTTATTCCTTTTTTTTTTTCATGTCTCAGGATGCACCAAAACTAAAATGGGTCAACTTAAATCACTCAAAAAAGTTGAACACTTTGTCAGGGTTAGGAAAGACTCCAAATCTTCAAGAATTAAATCTTGAAGGTTGCACGGCATTGAAAGAGTTGCATGTCGATATGGAAAACATGAAGTGTCTTGTTTCCTTGAACCTGAGAAGATGCACAAGTCTCGAGTCTCTTTCAGAGATTAAGTTAATCTCTTTGAAAACTCTCATCCTCAGTGACTGCTCAAAACTTAAAACCTTTCAGGTTATTTCAGATAAGCTAGAAGTTTTATACTTGGATGGCACTGCAATAAAAGAACTTCCTTGTGACATTGGGAGAATCCAAAGACTTGTCTTGTTGAACATGAAAAGCTGCAAGAAGCTGAAAAGGCTCCCTGACAGTCTTGGTCAGCTGAAAGCTCTTGAAGAAGTTATTCTCTCTGGTTGTTCAAAGCTCAATGAGTTTCCAGAAACTTGGGGAAACATGAGCCGCTTAGAGATTTTGCTTCTGGATGAGACAGCCATAAAAGAGATGCCAAAGATACTCTCAGTGCGTCGTTTATGCTTAAGCAAGAATGAAAAGATCAGCCACCTTCCAGATCTCATCAATAAATTTTCTCAACTTCAATGGCTTGATTTGAAGTATTGTAAGAATCTTACACATGTTCCTCAGCTTCCACCAAATCTTCAGTGTTTAAACGTACATGGTTGTTGCTCACTGAAGACAGTTGCAAAACCACTGGTATGTTCTATACCGATGAAGCATATCAGTTCCACGTTCATTTTTACTAACTGCAATGAATTGGAACAAGCTGCAAAGGAGGAAATTGTAGCATATGCTGAAAGGAAGTGTCATTTGCTTTCTGGTGCGCTTAAACGATGTGATGAGGTATCTCTCTTTCTCTCCTTTGAGAATTTCCTTTTGTGTAGTGGAACCGAGGTTAATGGTATTTCCCCTTTATATAACTTTGCAGAGTTGTGTTCCTGAGATTTTGTTCTGCACTAGCTTTCCGGGATGTGAAATGCCTTCATGGTTTTCTCACGACGCAATTGGATCTATGGTGGAGTTCGAGTTACCTCCTCATTGGAATCACAATAGGCTTTCTGGGATAGCCCTTTGTGTTGTTGTCTCATTCCAAAACTGTCAAAATCATGCCAACTTGACAGTCAAGTTCTCTTGTGAGCCAAAAAATGGAGAGAGCTCTTGCACCAGCATTACTTGGAAGGTTGGAAGTTTGATTGAACAAGACAACCAAGAAGAAACAGTTGAGTCAGATCATGTCTTTATTGGCTACACCAACTGCTTAGATTTCATAAAAGTTCTTGAAGACCAAGGTCCTCGTATATGTGCTCCGACCAAGGCATCACTGGAGTTTAGTGTGACAACTGTTACTGGCGGGGAAGCTAGGTTTGAAGTTTTGAAATCCGGTTTCAGTTTTGTGTTTGAACCTGAAGAGAACATAGTTCCATTCCCAAGGAATGATGAAGTCAAAGGTAAAACAAAAATCAACGGAATTCTAAGTGCTAATGGTTGTTTCAAGGATCAAGCAAAAGAATCTCCCAAGGGCCAGTGGCAGACCTACATTGAAAGTTCTGGCACTAACATCCCAGGTGAAGCACATTCTTCCCAAAAAATTGGTTTTGGTTCCACTCTTTCGTGTTAAAGTCATCGACTTCAACCCAAAAAGATCTTGCAGATTGCCTCTGTTTTTTCAAACTATCTATTCATTGGAACTCTTTATATTGGTATCTTCGTTGTGCATCTCTCTCTCTGCTCATCTTACAGATGATTTGGCTAGGACTTTTAGGGTGTCAGGGATTAATGGGTTCAACGGGATTTACTCTGCTTTGCGGGCTTATATAATGTACAACGATTGATGTTGATCTTGGAATTGACTCCCGATAGATGCAAGATAAATCGTTTTTCTAGATTTCCCCTGGACTAGACCGATATAAAAGACAAGATAGATTCAAGAATCAGAGTGATCAACCCATAACTGATATAAAACATTGCTAACAATGTTTTTGCTGAAACTCTTCAACAAACACACTTTAGATCACTTGGCTTAAAACTCTACAATAGAGTGTTAAGACCAAGTGTTGCACTTTGCAGTTTCACCTGAATACAATGTAAAGGAAAATTCAAAATCTCACTAGTGAGGTACTAGACTGTACTCTTTAAAAGCTACATTCCCATTTCTATGCCACCAAACAGAGCATTTGACTACAACTCTAGCATCAACCACCACAAAACATATACCATGATTGTGCTTTGGTTTTCATATCCAAGCTTAAGTAGCCAAACACTAATAAACCTCTTCTCATCCCCCACTTCAACTGGTACTTGCAGAAATTTAATCAGGCATATATAGCAACATAGATAACCATGACGAGAGCTACATTTTCCACAATCGATAAACCACAAATCTAAAATTTAAAGATAAAGCTGAGACCTTTAAACCCAAAAGCAGAGGAAAAAGATTGAAGCTTTAAAAATCGCAAATTTGGTCCATTCATTCACCAATCAAACACAAACCATACAACAAACATCAGAAAACTGAAAAACATTAACAGAAACAACAAAAGCTCTCAAACTAGATTACAACCATACCACCAGATAACTCATACCAACTAGGCAGCGCCTGAAACCAAATCTCCGGCAGGAGAAGCAGCAACAGCGGCACCACCGTCGTCAGAAGCCAGAGTATACGGAGTCCATTCCGCCGGAAGAGGAGGAAGAGGAGCGTAAACAGTAGGCTTTCTCTTAATGTCCCAAGGCTGAGTCTTCTTCGGCCTCGACTTCCTGTGATGCGCAGTCGATTTCTTCTGTGGCCTCGACGAGCACTCAATCACCATCCCTAATCCTCCTCCATTACCCAATTTCGGAACTTGAAATTGGCGGAGAACCGGAGAAGCAGCGACGGTGACGATTCCGGTACCAAAGATCGCTGACACAGACATTGTTTCCTTATCTTGTGCAAGTGAGAAGTGAGTATGAGCCTCTTGCTTTGGATTAGAAAAGAACATATCTAAGTTTTCGTTTCTATGGGCTTTTTATTGGGCATTTTAAGTGTCTATTGGGCTTTTGTATACATGATTTTAAGTGTATGGTGAAGATTTAGCCCATATGTAACTCATTTTAAGTGTATGGTGAAGATTTAATTCGTTAATTAAATGTAGTGAAGAATAGTCAAGCTGAATAGACTAGCTGATTAAAAAATGTATATTTGCAGAGATGTCATATATGATGTATTTGCAAGTAATTTTGATGTTTTATCTAACCTTAAACCAATAATGCTACTAGTCTACGAGATAGGTCCCTCGAATAAAATACATTATTTAGGATTCTGCATCTTTTAATACTTTATTTAAAATACATTTTTTAGTAGTTTGAGTTTTCGGATTTATAATAAAACTATGCTTTTAAATTAGTACATTCGAATTTTCTTAAATTTGTGGTGTTAGTTATCGAACTTAAGGGAAAAGAAAAATCAAGTTTTAATTTCTAAAAAAACATATAAAAATGTGAATGTTATCATAAAATAAAATTAAGCGAACATTACACGAGATGAACTGACATTCTAGTACATTCACTCTAGTGGCTTTTAGGGTTTTTCAATGCTGCCAAAGCGACCAATAAATATAATTGTCCAAAACCTGTCTAATACTTAAGGTTATGTATTAATTCAATAACAAGCCTAAATTAGGCTTCAAACTAGCTACTATAACCAACCTAACCAATTTCACATTGATCTCCACTTCTTTATCTCTTTATCAAAATAATCAATTGACAGCGGAAATTGCGATTGCCATGAAAATTACTCTTCTTTACGTAGACTCAAAAACATTTGCTAAAATTATGGCCATAAAATGAGATTACTTTCTTCTACGTGACTTGCACTATCCAATACATTCACAAATACACGTGCATCGGATTATCACCCCTTATTTTGTTGTCGACAAATTTGATTCTTTGGTTTCTTTATTTACAATAATAGTACTACGTATCTCTCTATATCAACAGCTCAGCCACTCGATTACTAGTACGAAGAGATTCTGTTGGTTAGATCAAATTAGGCATCACAAACCTCTGGTTTTAATGCAAGTTTCAGTTTGATCAAAAAAAAAAACCTATGGTACCCATTGTTGCATTAGTATAAGTTTTGCAAACCTTATCCTTATCTTAGTACCGTTGAAATTATAACCGCGAGAAACTTATCTGATTTTTTTTTCTAAACCCACTTATATATCAATAAATTTCAATCATTATAATTATAAAATCATGAAAACGAGAAAAAGAAAATTTAATCATTTTTGTTTTAAGTAAGAAGCCATCAGCCATGTATATTAGTTAATAGTTTATACACAAAATAATTTACAATATAGTTTAATAAGCAAATATTAGTCTATTTACAGGTAAGTGTCTTGTATAAAGGCCTAATTTGAGCCAGTTCTAGTCATGTGATTGTTTGTTTTTTTGGGGTAATCTTTGGTACATCGAGAAGAGAACCATATGAATCGAATGCTCTCGTCTCTTTGCATTATTGCGTTATTTTATTTTCTTGGAATTAGAGTTTATATTTTGTACTGCACTGCCCATGCCAGCTAGATGAATATACCAGGAATCTTTGGATTCTTTTTTATTTATCAATATTTTTATTTCGGACCTAAATTAAAAGAAACTGATCTTGGTTGGAAATATTATCTACAAAATTTTAAAGATATAAAACAAACTTTTTTTTAGAAAAAAATGATTATTATTTTAATTAGAGAAAACTATAATATTTTCATATTAAAAATGAGAACAATTTTGAATAGAAAGACGAAAAATATCAGTTACGTTGCATAACTATTCATCTGACTACAAATGATCGTTGTGTCAATATAGAGTAAATGACATAACTGCTAAAAATACAAAATGAATAACTAATTTTCACGAATATGGAAAATAGACTAATAACGTATTTTTTTCTTTTTTTTGTTAATTAATAATAATAATGTATTTTCAACCATCTCAAATATTACAAAGAAGCCGGCGGTTTCTCACAAAAAAAAAAAAAAAAAAAAAAAGCCGGCGGTCCAAAAATTTTCAAATTAATTAATATGATCTTTTTGTTTGCATCATTTATTAAATTGTCATATGTTTATTCTTTGACGATGCAATATAAAATATACTATACAAGAAAATCATAAGAATGTGGATATGATTATGTTTGAAAAGTCGTGATCGGTTGGGATTGCGTTGCAAAGTGGTCTACTCTGCCAAAATACTTATTTATCATATCAATCGACCTCTAAGTTTGGAGTTTTCTCCGTTTTTAATTTTTCGAGCCCTAGTTTTATCAATCACATGTCTTTTTTTGATAACTGATATATAATAAAATCAATTTCTTTTTAGCCTAAAACGTTAGGCAATGTCCATATTTTGATGGCCGTAGAAAATTATAAGAAAATATATCCAGATTTTTTTAAAAAAATTGAACTACATTAATCCTCAAAACTCCTTATATATTGTTATTGTCACAAATATACTGACAGGTGTGATTTGCATGCCTCGCGACAATCACACTAGAAAATTGGACTACAAGTTGGACCATAGAAAAATAAAAACACTACATACAAATTGTAGTACATGAATATCTCGTAAAAACCAATACTAGTAGATAAAGAGTTCTATTAAAACACTTTATCAACTTCGATTTTTCTTCCTTGTGTGAATAATTGAATGTAACCTCCCCCACTTAATAATATTTCGCATAAAAAGACAATAGTTTCCCCTACCACATCCGCATGAAAAAAAAAAGGAATCTTATATTTTCCGAAATATTAACAATTCAAAAATTCAAAAAAAAAAAAGTTACAATTTTTCTCATTATTATATCAGAAAACCTAACACACCTCATTATTGTTCCCACTTCCTACCAATTTGCTTCCTTGAATGGCAAGTCTCTTCTCCTCACGTCTCAGCTCTCGTTCTCTTTCTCTCCTCATCAACATCTTCTTCATCTTCCTCATCTATCTCCATTTCGCTTCACAAAATCCTTCTCCCTCCGGATCCATCCAAACCTTAAATTCTCTCGCCGGCGGTGACACTGACAGCTGCAGCGGAGGACTCGCCAGCCTTGACGACCACCGTTCCAAGTGTTCTTACATTAGATCTCAATCAAAATGTGGCCCACAAGGTTACATAGACTATCTCAAGATTTTCTTCTGCATCTTCGGACAATCCCCTGTTTTGGGCCATCTAGTTTTATCCATCTGGTTGTTTGTTCTGTTCTACTTGCTCGGAGACACGGCCGCGAGTTACTTCTGTCCTTCTTTAGACAGCTTATCTAAGGTATTGAAGCTGTCTCCTACAATGGCTGGAGTCACGCTTCTTTCTCTGGGTAACGGTGCACCTGATTTATTCTCAAGTGTTGTCTCCTTCACTAGATCGAATAATGGCGATTTCGGGCTCAACTCTATTTTAGGTGGTGCGTTCTTCGTCTCAAGCTTCGTTGTCGGGACGATTTGTGTGTTGATTGGATCTAGAGATGTCTCTATCGACAGAAACAGCTTTATCCGCGACGTGGTTTTTCTTCTGGTCGCTCTTTGCTGTCTCGGTTTGATCATCTTCATAGGCAAAGTAACCATTTGGGTCGCTCTCTGTTACCTCTCCATTTATCTCCTCTATGTAGGGTTCTTATCGGTTTCTCATTTCTTTGACCGCAAGAAACGTATGTCCGATCAGAATCTTCGTAGCAGAGAGGATTTAGCCGAGATGGGCGTCCCGTTGCTAGGCTATATAACAGAGGAGAAGCTGGTTTTGCCAGAGAAAACATCTCAAGAATTCAAGATTGTGTTTGAAGAGTCTCCAAAAAGGAACCGATCTTGCTTCTCGGTGCTAGTGAGCATCATAGGACTACCTTTATATCTCCCCAGGCGGCTCACAATTCCCGTCGTTCGCGAAGAAAAATGGTCAAAGCCTTGCGCTGTGGTTTCCACGGCCATCGCGCCTGTTCTACTAACCGAACTTTACTGTTCTCATTACAGCGGATCCCAAAGAAACCTAATCTTGTACATAATATCCGGATCTATCGGGCTAATCCTCGGTATCTTAGCTTACTTGACGACAGAAAAATCGCATCCGCCGAAGAAATTCTCATTAGTTTGGCTTCTAGGAGGCTTCACGATGAGTGTGACATGGACATACATGATAGCACAAGAGCTAGTCTCATTGTTAATATCCTTAGGTAATATCTTTGGTATAAGCCCCTCCGTGCTAGGACTAACCGTCCTAGCTTGGGGCAATTCCTTAGGCGATCTTATCGCAAATGTGACCGTGGCGTTTCACGGAGGCAACGACGGTGCTCAGATAGCCCTTTCCGGGTGCTACGCAGGTCCGTTATTCAACACGGTGATTGGACTAGGTGTACCACTTGTCATCTCCTCGTTGGCCGAATACCCCGGGGTCTACATCATTCCTAGTGACAATTCGTTGCTTGAGACACTAGGGTTCTTAATGGTAGGCTTGCTTTGGGCACTTGTGATAATGCCAAAGAAGAAGATGAGACTTGATAAGCTTGTCGGTGGGGGCTTACTCGCTATTTACCTCTGTTTCTTGTCTTTGAGATTGGCTAGAGTTTTTGGAGTCCTTGATATCGACCGGTGAATTTTATAGTAATGTAAATTTTTTAAATTTTGTTTGGGTTGTTTTTGTAATAATAGTTATTTCTTAAAGAAAAAAATTGCAAATAGGTCAAATTTGTGGGTCTTAATTTATTCCTTAAATGAAAAGAACCTTTGTGCATAGTTTGAATACTATGGAGAGGGATGGCTAATTTTGTTTGTTGCTGAACACTCATTTTCTGTCAAACTCACTTAGTACCTCACTAAAATTTAAAAAAGCTTTGGATTGTTGTTCTAGGTTCATTGTATATGGATTGGTATATATAACATCACACTAATACTAAAATTATGTTAGACCATATGCAAGGGGGAACTTTTGAGTGTGTTCTTAGGATTTAAAAATAGGAAATAAAGTGAACAGTGGTAGAACAGTTCTAACTTATCCTGCAAACTGTTCTTCCTAAAGAACAGTTTTTATAATTTTAAGAACAGTTGTATCCACTATTCAACATTTTTATTATTTTAAAACCTTTAAGAACACACCAAGTGTTCCCCCCTTGCATATGCTCTTACCAGTCTAATTGGAATTCTCAGTAATTGTTCATTATGTTATTTACATGAATCTTATCTTCTTAATCAATTATTTTTTGAAGTTATAAACTTATCGATCAAGATTCTTAAACATTTGAAGATTGTCTAGTCATAAAGTTTAACTAACTTTCACGCCTAGTCTCAACTGATAGCTCAACAAAATGATTGCTTTGTGAATTAAGCATTATAAGTTCACTCCAATGAGTCGCTTTATGATCTTCTAATTCATTAATTAGATTTTGATGTTTTATAATGTAGTGTAATTGTTTGGTTGTTTTGTGGGTTTGGCTCAACCATTAATATTCCAAATTTCGAAAAAATAGACTGATTTAAAAAAAAAGGTTTCAATTAGGTGAAATTAACCGGAATGTAGCAGATATGGCCAGATTTCTCCGAAATGTAAAATCCCTAATCAGTTATTTTGTGGTAAGGAACGTTGCTAAGTGTCCCATTGCATTTTGAATTATTAGAAAAAGGCCAACAAAATTGGAGTTATCCTAATTCCAAGGAATCAAATTGCAGACAAACAAGAAAAATGTGCCAAATTATTATGCACACGAGTCATGATGAGATAAGGATGAAAACAATAATAGAATAAACAATACCAGTAATAGAGAAGAAAAAAAAAAGGAAAAAAAAAACAAATCTTATCTTGAGTTTGAATGCAAATTGGCAAAAAGAGACAAGCGTTGTCGCTTCAAACAACTCCCACAACACTGGGAACTAAATAAACTATAGTAATTCCCTTGTGGAAAATAAATAAATGGATGGCAAAACAAAATTAACAATTCATAGTTTTTTTTTTTTTTTTTACATTATCTATATGAGATCATTTATGCGTATGTATGAGCAGAAATTGTTGACTCGTCGAGAATCTGACACCTACTAAAATTCTAGCTACTCAATTTGAATTCCATAACTCTAAAGTTTATTATAAGCTATGTTGCGATATCATTGAATTTGAAACTATTAATCTCCAAGATCAATATTGGAGTTTTGCTAAACCACATTTTTGTTTTTCTTGTTTTAACTTGTATAAATGATTGCAAATCATACACTTACATACAGTAGTTTTGTATAATTTCCTCCACGAAACCGAAATTGTCATATATTATACGATGAAAAATCTACGTTACAATCTACATAAAGTTATACATATATCTATATACATTACAAAATCGATTCCTTTTACTTGAAGAAGATTATACAAACCCATATTATGTAAAACGACTATGAGTTGAAATCAAAGTTAGTGAGCATCTCCAACGGTTTGCATAATTCTTAGAGACAACGAAGCCAAGTATATGACCAAAAGCCCTATGCCCATCACACCACCAAGCCTCATACGGTTACTAAACAGAACCAAGAACGACCAAACCAGTCCTACGACCAGAAACCCAAGACTCTCCAACAAACGAGGATCTGTCTTAATCACAATGCTCGACGGATAAGCCTCCCATGCGCATCCCACAAGCGATATCCCGAGTGCGAACAATGTATTGAAGATTGGACCGGCGTAACATCCCGATACAGCCACTTGAGCTCCTTCGTTCCCATCGTGCAGTGCCATGGTCACGTTGGTTATTAGATCTCCGATTGAGTTTCCCCAAGCGAGGACCGTTAGGCCTAAGATTGAAGGGCTTACCCCAAAAATGTATCCTAGTGAGGTCAAAAGCGCGACTAGCTCTTGTGCTGATATGTAACTCCATGTCATGCTCATAACAAACCCTCCTGCTAACCAAGGTAATAACCATTTCTTTGGTGGGGTTGATTTCTTCGTAGTGGCTCCTGCAATGAAACCAAGAGCTATACCGATCAAACACCCGATTAGATAAACAATTCCCGCCTCAAAACTCGTCGGTTGCCGCTTCCAATTCCATAGAAACGACAAGAGAACTGGAGCAAATGTGACCGAGGCAACAGCTAATGGTTTAGACCATTTGGCTTCACTCACAACAGGAATAGTCAATATCCTTGGCAAGTTGAGAGGCAGAGTGATAACCCAAAGGACCAATCTTTTCCAGTAATAATATCTCTGGTGATGATCATCATCATCAACAATCTGATGCTCTCCATTAACAACACCATCTTCAATCTCCTCAAGACCGTCTCTCTGCAAGATTGGTTCACTAAGACTACCACGCTTATGGATTGACTCGAGATCAGATTCAGCACCTTGATCTCCACCAAATCTCCAAGAGAGATACACAAAGGCAACATAGACAGCATACAATGAACAAAACGCAAGAGCACCCCAAAAATTGATCTTTCCATAGACCAAAATCAAGGCCAAAGAACCAATCGCAGCACAGAAGAAGCAAATGTCTCTTATAAAAGCAGCTCTCTCAATCCTCACACGTCTGCTATGCAACGAAATGCTAATGATCCCAACAACAACACAGGTAACAAAACCAGAACCTCCAACAACAGTGTTGAGACCAACATCGTAAGTACCCTTTGATTCTCCCATGAAAGAGACCAAACTTGCAAACAAATCAGGAGCACCATTACCAAGCGATAAAAGAGTCACTCCAGCAACAGTTGGTGACAAATTAAGCAACTTTGAGAGACTTTCAAGAGATGAACAGAAATATTCAGAGGCTGTGTGACCCAGTAGATAGAACAAGAGAAGCAGCCAGAGGAATAGAAGAAACTGACCCAAAATTGGGAAACCTTCGAAATTACAATAGAGGAAAGAGAGGTAATCGAAGAAACCTTGACTAGCACATGGATCAATTGATTTGAGGTAAGCACACTTTGATTTGTAGTCATGAAAGTGCTTCAGGGCACTACAATCATGCTCGGATTTAGGTCTTAGGGCACTTGAATCAACAGGATTCGTGAAGAAACCCAACAGAAGACAAGAGATGACGAGAAGGAATGTGATTGTCAAGTAACCAAAACGGTTTGAAGAAAATGAAAAGCCCATCAATCAGGTAAAACCTGGAAACTCAACAAAAACGAAAAGAACCAAATCAGAACAGAGCAAACGAAGAAACAGATAAAGTTTGAATTTTTATCAGAGAGTAAAATTGAAAAAGAAGAAATTTGGGTTTATTGTTGAGAATCTATTAATGGGTTTTCTCCATAAGAACAGATCATGAAGAAACAGATTAGATAAACACGAACTCTACGCGGAAAGAGAAAGATAAAGCACTGACCTTTTTTAATATATGGAAGAAGAAGAAGAAGAAGAAGAAAAAGCAAAAAGGGATCGAATTTCGAATCGAAGCTTTAAAGGAGACTAAGCGAAGAAAACACCCACAAACACACAAACACTTTAACAAGACAAACGACAGAAACCAAAAACAGAGGATTGAGAATATTTATTTTTTATAAAGAATACGAAAAAAGTTTGTCACTTTGTCATTGCCGTTTTGGGGTTAGGGTGATTTGGGTTTTGGAAATGGCTTATGTGTCGGCTTCACGATGATGTTTGCGTCATTTTCTCTTTCCATTACGTATTCGAAGTTTAGGAAGACGAGGGAGGATGGTTAGCGAAAGGATACGTAATAAATTTAGAAGCTTTTTCCACAAATTAAATAATAATACAAGGAGCTGACCCAGCAATTTTTTAGTGCTGATTCCTAAGAGCATGATTATAGGTGGTCTCTTAGAAATAATTCTTAGCAATATTTAAGTAATTTATTTGTAAAAGTGATTGTTAAGAGATAGTATTTTTGAGTTAAGATTTTTGTGTGATTAATGGTAGGCTCTTAACATGTGGTTTTTAGAAAAAAAATATTAATATAAAAATTAAATTTATAAATATAGAACATTTAATAATTGTTGCAAATTAAAAAAATTAAAACATACATGAGATACAATTTATAACATAAATAACATAAAGCACAAATGTTTTAAACTTAGATTTGGTATAACATTTGGATGTTTTTTGGTTGTGACTTTGTAAGCAAAAAAAAAAAGAAGACGAGATAATTCAATGTGATACTACAAGTTGATATTTATAGGCAATGTTGCTAACAAAGACTTTTTGAACAAACACAGCCCCGTGAAACAAAGCATCTTTGATGACTTGTGGTTTAAAGCATCTTGAACAAAGCATCTTGATAACTTGTGGTTTCACGTGAACCTACACAGAGTAAACGAAGTTAGAAACAGAAATATATATTGAAACAGAGAGTTTAAAAACAGAAACACAAACTTCATTAACTTTGTTAACACATATTGAAACACAACAAAAGTAATTGAAACATAAGCTAAAGAAGAAGAGACGTTTACTTTCATCAAATCTGTCATAATACACAAGCATTTATGACAACCCAACACAAAGCATGCAATTTCTTTCATCAAATATGACTAAGCTAAATCTAAATTCACAATACAAAACAGAGATCATTTTATGTACCTTGAGAGGAGTGAGATCAGAAGCTAATATGTACCTTGTTTGCCTTTTATACAAAAACAAGAACAATCACATAAACATCTAAAAGCAATCAAGACAGCGAAATTTCCGACGAACCCTAATTTTAAAAAGCAAAAATCACATAAATTAACACAAACAGAGATCAATTCCTACCTTGACAAACAGATTCTCACCGATTTCGAATCAAAAATCGACAGTCTCGTGAATTTAACCCCGATTTCGTCAGCCCCGATTCGCCGATTATGTTAACAGAGAGATCCCTCGACAACCACCGACGGCCAGAGGTAGAAAACAGAGCCGATTACTCCGATTTGGGTCGACTTTACGGCAACCTTCTTCGGTTCCGATTTCTCCGTTTTCGCGAGAGAGAGAGAAAACAGAAGAAAAATAAAACGTGTGTGTGTTTTTTTGTCTTAATATATTTCTTGGATTACCCATTCACAACGCGCCACGTGGGCGTTTCTTAAGGCTTACTTTGTTCCTTAACTAAGGAACGGTCCTTAGTGTAAAAGGAGAAAATGCATTAAATTTAATCACTTTTATACCTAAGATTTTCCTAAGATCACCCTAATATACTCCGGTTAATCATGCTCTAAAGCCACTAACTATGAAAAAAAAAACAAAACAGAAATATTCCGGTTTGGTACGTAATCAATAACCGGTTTAACATTAGCTTAACATTAGCTTAGAAATAAGAAACTAATTAAAAGGATGTATTTTTTTTTTGTCATCCATTCATCGATCACAGCATAATTAAAAGGATGTAGTCAGTGCTAAATTAATGTTTTTTTATTCCAACAAGTAAAACTCTAATCTATAACAGTAATTTTGATATTTTAATGTTAGATAGTAGTATACAACAATTTGTTTTTCTTATTTTATTAATTGTGAAATGTTTCTTGATTTTTAAAAAATAGTTATTGATAATTGAGCTTAAACCACCGCCTGTTACTTCCAATTCACATAAGGGATAACTTGAAAATGTGAATTAAGAAGAATAATGGCTTTCTATGAGCTCAAAATAATTTCCTTTTGTGGATGCATATAAGCTGAAACATCTTAATTCAAACGTATTTTAAGAAATAAATATACATCGATATAAAAATTTCAAATAGATTGAGACGAGACACCCACGATCATAAAGAGAAAGTTGCCAAAAAAAAAAGACAGAAAGATACAAGTAGAAAAAGTTAATATAAAGGAAAGTAGTGTGGCAAAGATAAAGTTAACAAGGAAATTAATAGTATACTCCCACAGTGACACAAAGATAATAGTATAATGATGTCGACTGAAAAAAAAAAAACTTATTACTACAACAAGTATGTCGGTCGAGGGATTATGATTTAGGATAGTTTAGGATAATATATTTAGGGAATTTCAAATAAAATCGAACATAATATCATAGATTAGGGGACTTTTTTTTTTTGTTAGTCATAAAAAGATTAGGGGACTTATGAGTGTGAATTGCAAATAGTAAAAAGTACCAAGTGTTTAGAGCAACGCGGTCTTCAAACGCGTTTTTTTTTGTTTGCATTTATTTTGTGATGTAATTCATTGCTTGAGAGCTAAGTGAGTAGAACTAGAAGCGATCCCATTAACACAAGAATCAACACGTAAGACCATCCACAATGGTGGTTTCTTAAGAGTACCTAAGCTATTAAACAAATAAAAAAAATAAAAGAAGAAGAGAGAGACAAAGCAACGTTTCTAAAACAAGGTACGCATAAAAACCTATCTCTACACATGTTATTCATTTAGTGGTCCAGTTTTTATTTAAAATTAAAATTTAAATATAAAACTAAATTATATCTAAAATACTATTACTTTATTACTAAAAACTGTAATTGGGTTTCTTTACCGTTGGGGTTGCTCCCTTTCGACGGAGAGATTTGATCTTTACTTATTTAATTATTGTACTCGATATAAAACCTTCGATTACTCATGGAGTATTGATCTAAATAGTTGAATTGTCTATCATTTAAACTTTTAACAGATTCACCTATTGTTAGTTTACACTTCCAAAGATATGTTTCCTAACTTATGCCTTGACATATAAAGTTGTAGACTATTGTCCGAAAATAAAATCTTTTAATTGGAGATGAAATATCTTAAAAGTTAAAAGTGAACACTTAAAGCCGACGTCCCCATTAGACAAGAGGCTGACTCCAAAAAGATGTCTCCAAAATAATTGATGATGGGCATATTCATATGCTAAAAGCTTGTCATGTTAAAGTCGGCCCATATTCTTTTAATGGATCCATTGTCCAATTCAAATTTATTGATTACTGTCACGTCCCCATCCTTTCGATGTTTATGGGCTCGATTTAGATAACCGGATATCATACCGGTATGGTCCGGTTATGGGACCTCCACGAACTACTAGACCTCTGAACGGGCGATCCCTCCAAAGTTATCACCTGTACCTTCTTCATCTCTTTTCGATTTCGAATTTTTCATATCTTTAGTAGTTTCGTCTCAATTTCACAATTTCCGTGTAGCCGACAATGAATTACGCTTTAGATTTTGGTTTTCCGGCTACATTTTCGGTTAAATCGAGTTCTGTTGGCGGACATGTGATTCCTTCTCTTGGATTCGGTTCCCGCGTAAGATTTTGCTCTCTTCCTCCTTGTTCATCTATCAAGGTTAAATCTCTTTTCCACTTTCTCCTCTGCTTTGATTTTGTCCCCTTTTTCAGCTGGATTTTTGTTTATTTCATATGGATGGTTACGAAATTAGTTAAGTGTATCAGTGTTGTTATTCTGTGATTTGACTTGTTATTCGAATGTTCTGTATCTGAAATTAAAGCAAGCTTCTCCATTGAAATCTGAATCATACAAATGTACTTGTCCTGACTTGTTTCATGATGGTTATGAGAACTAGCATTAGTAAGTATGAGTATATAGCATTTTTTTGTTGCTCCCAAAACTCCAAATCTTGTTAGTTTGTAGTGTTGCTTAAGTTGTAGAAAAATTGAAACTTTTTCTGCAAAAGTTGAGCTATTTTCCCCATTCATGTGTACTTGTTCACAGACTTGTCTCATGATGATGATGATGATAATGCTTTGTTACCGTTGGTAACTATGCGTAATGACCGATATATTCTGATGCTATGACTTCCAAATCATGGAAAAAGTTTAATGTTGCTTGGTTGAGTATGATGTTCCACAACTCGGTATTTGTTTTCGATGTTTGGACTTTTCGGGAAACATTATTTATACATTAGGGTGTCTGTTTCTTCTGATTGGGATAAAACATTATTTGCTAAGTTGAGGAAATTCTTTGAATTCATAGGCTGAGTCATGTTTAAAAAGAGACCTGCATAAGCAAAGAAGCAGTCTTGAGTCAATGTTCTGTTATGATAAACCAATACCAGAGGAAATAATAGAGGAGCCAGTAGGATTATCCATGTCAGAGAGAGAGATTGGTGATAATCGGCGTTGCACTTGTTGTGAAGCTAAAGGTGCATTGCTTTGTGCAACTTGTTCTGGAACTGGTCTATACGTAGACTCAATTATGGAGAGCCAAGGCATCATTGTTAAAGTCCGTTGCTTAGGTCAGCCTCTTACCCTACATATTCTACTTGTTCTATGCAATTTACATTATCTTCATCTTTAACCATTTGTTGCTACTGTTTTAGGTTGTGGTGGAACTGGTAACATTATGTGCAAAAGTTGTGGCGGGCGTGGTCACGTAGGACACTAATGACTCCGAGAGTCGCTTGTTTTCCAGTCATAGTTCTGTTTTACCTATTCCCCACTTTTATACGCTGTACCCTTTCTCTCTGATCTTATTGTAAAATCAAAATCCTACATTTTTGAGTTCCATATATAGATAGATATGTGTTCCTGTACTGATGTAATCTCTAGCTGAAACATTTACAATCTTGTAACAGAGTCCATTCATTTTCCGTTCTTATATAAAATGGTTTCCTAAGTGGCTGTGACTAAACCATAATTCTCTTTTACTGCTCTTTCCACTATTTATGCAATCAGATACAGACAACGGATCAAAGAGCAAGAATATAAAGCAGGGAAAGGATCAGAACTGAATCATTCTCGTCTCACTTTGTATGTACATTTCCTTCTATAGCTGCAGTTTGCAATATGAAACTACTAAACAATCTCCAATCTTTAGTCTAGCTTTAAAGTCTAAGTGAAAAGTGAAAAAAAAAGAAACCAAAGTATTTTTTTTCTGAACTAAGTGGATACCATCCGTATGTGAGCTCTCTACAATACGTGTGACACGTGTGTGATCTCCTCATCCTCATCTTCCCGCACTCTATTCTCACCTTCTCTTTGTGCCTTTTCGATATTTTGTCGCACAATACGTTGTGGAATCGTGTCATCAAACCTATCGTTCTGTGGATCCTCAGAATAAGCTACATAGTAACCCATCACACAAGCTTGTAGCCACGCAGATGAAACTCTCCCCTGAGAAACACACCAACAAAAACAGGTACATAAGATTTTACACAGTACAACCATTTTTGATTCTCTTCCTACATTTTGATAATAAGATCTTACCACAAAGTATCCGATGATGAAAGCGTAGATAGTCAGTTCAAAGTAGTGATCCCTATCAATCAGAAGCTCCCATATTCCTGCAGTCAATGCAGAGACTGCACCAATTCCCATGGCGCTAGAGAAACAGATGGAGCTTGTGATGTCAAAATCAATCAACTGCTCAAATCCAGCGACTGTTCTAAACCTCCTCCAGGTATCACTAGACGCTTTCTTAAACCCTTTGTTATAAGCTCCCACGTGAACAAATCCATATCTATTTCCACCCAAAATGATATGATTGGCAATCCAATTGCAGCCTCGGGTACTTTCATACATCTCCTGATCGTCGTCACACCTGCCAGTCAGATTACAACACCGCGTCGTTCCCCTAAAGAGTACAATAAGTGGAACAAGTGTTGAAGCAATACAAACACTCCCGAGCTGTTTTTTCAGAGTGACACCAAGAGCAGTACATGCATTCATGACCTCATCACGCCTAAAGTATACATAAGTAGCTTTCGAAATCGCGACTTCTTGTACGTTTTTGAGAACCTGCATTGTCCAGGCAAGGCTTATCACGAGGATAGAGATGAAAAGAATATCAAGACGTGTTCTTGTAGCAGTAGCTCCACCGATTCCAGCAACCAAGAAACCAGAGTAAAAGACGCTTATGATCACTGATACAATTGCTATTGCTCTGGTTCTTGCTGGTAACATCCCTGTGGCGATTGACATCATCTTGAAGGTGAATTCATACTTGTTCCTGACGTAAAGCCCGCCATAACATTCAGTAACGATGCTATAGACCACAAGAAGTGCACCTATCAATAGAACAACGGGATTGGTTTTGTCGTAGAGAATTAGGAAGAGCCCCACGGAGATTGTGAGTAACGGTGAGAACCAGAACGTGGCTTTGACTGTTGCTCGTTTGTTGCAGACGAAGAAGCAATTCCAGGCTACAGAGAGGATTCCGGAGACAGCAACAGAGGATAACAGAGGAGTGTACCATTTCTTGGGATGGAAGTTTGGTGATTTGGTGCAGACGAGACCTCGTAGCGTGAGAAGGATCACAAAGATCGAGATTAGGGTTAGTTGCGTGTAGAAGATACAAGTGAAGAGGCATCGGAAGAATCTTCCGGATCGTGTTTGTTGTTGCTGTTGCGGTTGCTGTGCGGCGGGAGGAATTACGGGTTGCGGTTGCTGTGCGGCGGGAGGAGTTACGGGTTGCGGTTGCTGTGCGACGGGAGGAGTTACGGCTAGTTCGATTTCCTGCAAAAAAGCAAAAAGATAAGAGAGATAGAGAATCAATGGTGAATCGTGGTTGAAGAATGTGAAGACACGACGCTAATGGCGATTTGAGAAGAAGAAGAAGAAGAAGAAGAGTAAGCACCATTGAGAAAGACGAAGGTGGATCACGCACGTCACGGTTGAGGGTGAGTCACGGTTTTCTTGCGGCGGAAACGGTGACGAAATTCAAAGAGACGAAGAGAGATGAAGTAGAAGAAGCGAGAGAGTAAAAGTGAAGACAGAGAAAGAAACAGACGAAGAAAGAGAGAAATGAAGATATATAGACAGAGGCAAGAGAAAAGGAGAGAGATCTTCTTGATCTTGGTTCTTGAAATCTTCACGTGAGAAGCAAAAGGCCGTTGTTTGTTATTATGGGCAGTTCTTAAACGTCTCTCTAACTTTGAGTTGAAATTGATTTAAGTCTCTCTCGCTCTCTATTTCTCGCTTTTCTCGAGTTTTTTTTTTCTCGTATTACGTTTCTTGGTACTCAAGTTTCACATTATACTTCATCATTTGTTTGTGTATTTGTATTTTTTAGGCGTTATGTATTATTATTATTTACAACTTTACAGATCAAAATCATGTATTAATATTAAATTAATTAATCTGTGTAACTTCGTTCCGTTAATTTATATTTTATTTTGACTCGTAACTACATTAACATAACAATTTGTATTCATGTATGGTATATTTTTTTTTTGTCAAAGTTCATGTATGCATTTAATTAGTGTATATATGTAGACGAAGATAATGAAGGCTCTAATTAATGGATATATTTTTTATTCAAATTAATGCTCTAAGATCTGGCTCTAAATGCAACTGATGCAACATTCGCGCGCTATTGGTTTTCTCTGCACTCTGCAGTGAAAGAGAGAATGGCATTACAGTAAAACAGTAAAGTTTTATTTCTGTCTTATATAAGTTTTTTCATTGCTAAATTTAGATGAAAATGGCACTACAGTAAATATAAATTTTTAACAAGGGTTAATTGTATTCCTAAACATGTGTGGACGTTATTCAAGATTTCTCACTTTAGAAGGTGTTAGAGCATTTCCAACGCTCAGACACCTTTCTAGTTTCTCATTAATAATACTAGATTATGTACTCGCGCTTTGCGCGGGATTTTAATTTAAATTTTTTTATCAATGAAAATCATTGAATTATTTGAATTTTAAAAGATTTTACTTTACTTATTTTCATTATCTTTTAACAGTAGTAAATATTTTTTCACACCTTTCACTACAATTTTTCTGTTATCTTCTATGATTCACTCGTCGTCTCCCGACATCTACTCTATTTTCACCTTATATTAGCGCACATATAATATACTCGACTATGAAGTAGTTCTCAAGATAGATCGTATATATTTTCTCATTCATATCTCTCAATACTCCAATTTTGTTTTATAAGTTGCATGATCTTTTTATTAAAGTGAACATTAGAAAATCGTGGAAGATATTTGTCATAAAGTTTTTTTTACCATGTTTGGTGCATGTAAAATTGCTTTACAGACAACAAATCTCATATATAGACTCATTCCTATTCACAAACATCGTATTTCAACATCAAATTTTGCACTTTATCTTGACCATTTGAAAAATACAAAAAACAAATTAACATATATACTTTGATGTATATTATGATTCTATATAAGATTCTTAATATTTATTTTCGTAAAATTTGTAACTTACGAACTCATATAAATCATTTCAATTTTAAAATACATTTTTTTATCCTTAGTTTGTACTTCTAATTAAAATCTCTTCAATATACCATTACTATTCTAATTTCTAAATAGCATTTGCAAATATTATTATTACACTGTGTTAAAATCACCTTAAATTTTTTCGATCTATGTTAAAATTTCATAAACACTGATTAATATATAGTTTTTCTTTTTTTAGGTATTCATTTGATTTTTAAAAAAATCCACCACTTTTTATTAATGTAACTATTATATTATATTATAATTATAAATAATAATATGTACTCAATCCTTCTTATTTTTAATCAATATCATGAATTGATACTTTAACATTAAAAATATATTTTTAATATTTATAATTTTAAATGTGTATTTCAGAAATGAATTAATTTTTATGTTCAGTAAAAACCTTTAAATTTAGTATATTTTTATGTCTTATTTTTCTTTATTATACTAAATAATTGTAACTCTTAAAAATGATTTTTTCACATTAAAATATATGATAAGTTCTTTTTTCATATCTCTATTCATTTAGGAATATTTACTCATTATATGTTAAGATACAATTATCTAATTTTATATTTAATATAGTCTTTTTTTTTGTCAAATAAATATTTAATATAGTCTCTATACAAAAAGTTCATCTTTTGTGTTTTTTTTTTGTCAACCACACATTAGTTAATAAATAACTCCCTGATTGGTTGCCCAACTAGAAGGAGAAGAGTCTACAAAAGTAACTTCAGAAAATAAAAGTCTAGAAGAACGGGCTAAACAGTCCGCTTTAAATAGAAGTTCATATTTTGTGTTATAATTTATTTTTTCGTTTTTTAATATTTAATTTGTTCTTTTGTAAATTTTTGTTTTTGTTTAATGAAATATAATAATATAAATTACAAAATGTGTGATTTAATTACAGTTTAATTATTTTTGTTTTAATAAATACATTTGTGGAGCCTACAAAAAATTAAAATAGGATGACTTGGATGATGATGTGGACACCCTAGATGGAGAGATAACTCTCCCATTATATATATAGATTTTAATCATTTTAATTATTTATTTATATTTTAAATGATAATTAATAATATTGGCCAATCAAAATAAAGTCATATGTGAAATGGGTATCTCAGAGTTTCTGTGCAGAGAAACTTATCTCATTCTCTTTCCTACTTTTTTATTATTTTCTATTATTTAAATCATAAAAAATCTGCTGAGACACTACCGATGTGGATGCTCTTAATAGATGAGATAATGACAAAGTAAGAACGTCTACTTATATCTCCTACTCCTAAGCAGGGGCGGACGCACGTTGTAGAAATGGTGGCACGTGCCCCACACTAAATTTTTTTTTCCTTTAATAATTAGTATTAAATTTATTTATATGCCCTTCATGTTTAGTTTTTATTACACTAGTGCCCCATACTAAATATTGGGCTGGATCCGCCCCTGCTCCTAAGCTATCTACCAAATTCTACGCTATTCCTAATCTTTCTAGGTAATCCTAATAAAATCATTCTCAATCATATGAGCTGTGGTTTTACACCTAAGCCGATCATGAATTCTCTCAATATTATTAATATAAAGTATTACTCCTATATACCTTTGTAACTCAAAGGTCTAACTAGAAAAAGAAAAAACTTAACATACAAAAATGAAGCAATTTTGTTGTCTAATGGTGTTGCTTTTTTTATTCCCTATAGCTTGTTCAGAGTTACAAGTTGGGTTTTATGATGAAAAATGTCCTAAAGCCGAAGTAATTGTTAGGAATGTGGTGCTTCAACGATTCAACAGAAACCCTAGTGTCAGAGCGGCTTTACTGCGGATGAATTTTCATGACTGCTTTGTTAGGGTAAGATTTCCTCTCACACTTTAAATCAATCGAAAGTCAAGTATATCAGATGCATATTGTTAGAAAAATATCATAAACGAGTTTCATATCATTTAAGAGAAAAACAAATTTCATATCCTTTAGTTTGGGAATCTTACGGTAAGATAAAAGGGGCTCAAATGTTATTTTTTATACATATAAAATTGGCCTAGAGTTTTTAGAAGCCCGAAATTTGATTTGTCAAACCTTAGTTGTAAAAAAGAAAAAAGCCTAAAAAATTATAAAATACATTCATTTGCTTTTTGTCTATATTTATGTTGTTGGGCCGGGCCTGATCTCACCTTATCTTTTTTTTTTGCTCTTACTTCATAAGGCTGCGACGCATCACTGTTAATCGACTCAACCGCCACTCGTCTGTCGGAGAAATCCGCCGGACCAAACTCAAGCGTAAGGGAGTTTTTTGCCTTGTTAAGGTTCAAAAATGTAATAACATAAAATGCTTTAAAAATTACAATATATATATATATATATATATATATATATATAATCAGGTTTATAATATTTTTTTTGTAAATAATTATTTAGAATTTGATAATAAGAACATCGTTTTCATGGTTAGCAATATTTAGTTAAATATTTTAGATTTTATTTCTTATTGTTGTTAAAAATGTTTGTGACTTTGTGTGCTAGCAAGACTGGTCCAAAGATAATGGAGGTGCAGAGTGAATTGAAAAGTTGTTGTCCTTCTAAAATTTTCAATTGAAAATTCTAATGATATTAATTCTATAAAAGTAATATAACTATATCATATATTTTCAAAACATAAAAGTTTTTTTAATGCGTTTAGTGATACTTATTTTAGTTTTACAACAGCACTATCAAAACATTATAGTTATTTAAAAATAAGAGAAGAAAAACAAGTTAACAAATATTACAAATTTAAGCAAAATATATGCAAATATTAAGCAAGTGACAAAAAAAAAAAAAACAGTCTTAATGTTGAAATTTCAAAATGAAAATAGAATATTATTAATCAGAAACGTAAAAAAAAAATGTAATAACATGAAATGTAATTGTTTTTAACCATACATTAATTAGTTTTCCATAAATAAATATGTGTGTTAGTGGTCAAAATATGACTAAAATCTTTTCTATTAATTACATACATTCAATTTTCTTGTAGAAACCCCCTATAAATTCCGTACACACAGCCTTTCAGATTGCTCCGGATTCCCTCTTTTTTTTATTATAACGTTAGAAAAAATAATTGCTTGAGATATTTTTGGTTTTTAAAAAATGTCAAAATGTTTAGAAATTAAAATGTAAGACTTAAATTCGACTAGAACAAAAAAATGTTAAAAATTTGTTTTCTGCGTATTTAAATTTAGATGGTGATACAGCGAGGATATTAACACAAATTGTTGTGTAGTATGTCTTAATTTTCTAAAATAATGCATAAATGGTACGGGATATTGTAATATAATCAATGCAAGTATAATGTAAGGGAAGAGAATGTCACATTATTACAAGCAAATCAAATCATTAGTGTTGTGCCAGCTTCTTTACACAACTCGCCACGAAACCGACATAGACGTAATTTTTTAAATGATATAATGAAAGCGTCAAAATAATATTCCCAAACCTCATCCTCGCTTTCTTCAAGTAACAAACTTTCCTTCGTCCTCTTTTTTTGTTGAACTTTTGACTTTTATATCATATTCCCAAATGTTTTTCAAACCTCTTATGACTTTCCAGAAAATTTAAAATGAATTTTTAATTTTATAGGGTACTCGTAATAAAATATCAAATCATTTTAAGGTTACTAGGGTTACATACACTTTTGGGGTCCAATTGTAAGAATTTTGGAGCTTCAGCAATAAATAATGATGACTCAAATTTTTTAAAGCTGAGAAAATTACACAATAAATTGTGCAATAATGATCATCCAAAATAATAATCGTAACTAAATTGTGTACCTAAAACTTACGATTAATAAATCAGGACCCTAGAGTCTAGACTATAGTAGTATGTACCGACTTCTTTTAATTTTTGTCGATCATCATTAGGCATGACATATTAACAAATCAGTAGTTTTAACTTTGAACTTTTAAGTTTTAACTATGCATGGATAGATAATTTGACGACTAAAGTAAACAGTTACCGAACCTCTGGCCGGAGTCTGGATAGATGACTACATGGAGCAATTGTTTTTTTTTTTTTTTTGGTATGATACATGGAGCAATTGTTGTGATGTCCATATATTGAGGTATACTTAATTGGTTATTTCTTTTAATGAAAAACAAATTCATAATAATAGTTTATAGTAAAATTAAAATATTGCCTCAATTAATAAGTTGTTATGTGCAATTATGTGGTTGTTGTGCATGTGACATTAACTAATATTAAGTGAAACATATACATTTAAATATAACCTCTAAATCTTAAATCCATCTTTTTTTACTAAGTCCTTCAATACATTCTCAATGATTTGAAAGTCTTGTTAATAAAGAAAAGCGCAAAATATATATGTTTTAGACCCAAGTGGTTTTAAAGAAACCCCGTTTTAAAATAATAACTATTTCATTAAATTGACTTTTACACATTTCTTCAAAATCGAAATCGGCAAGAAAATGAAATCGAAATAGATTACGATGAAATTGCGCACCTTATCCACCATGTAAATTAATTACAATTCTACTGTTATCGACTAAGCTGGATCAAATTTTCAGCATATCATATACATTGTATATAAATGATTAAATTTACAACATGGCAAGGGAATGTTACAAAGTCGCTCGCACGCCTTTGCAAACGTTTCTAAGCTTAATTATCTAAACAATAATATAACCTTTGACTTTCGCATGTATTCGGCATGAATATGAGGTGTATTAATATTTTAGGCTCTAAATTATTTTTCGACGGTTGGTGTTCTCGTATATATATACCTTATGTTCGATCTTAAAGGACTCACAACCCTTTCCACAAGAAGTTAAACCAATACATAGAAGAAAACTTCCAACCCCAAAAAATGATGAAGGGTGCCAAGTTTTCTTCTCTTCTTGTGCTTTTCTTTATTTTTCCGATCGCATTTGCTCAACTGAGAGTCGGGTTTTATAGCCGGTCATGCCCTCAAGCCGAGACTATCGTTCGCAATCTGGTGCGCCAAAGGTTTGGTGTTGACCCAACCGTTACCGCCGCTTTGCTCCGTATGCATTTCCACGACTGTTTCGTTAGGGTAAGGATCTAATATACCTCAACATTTTCAAAATACTCCATGTCAATAATTTCAATTTCTTAAATTATGTTTGTCAATAGAATATTATTAATCACAAACGCAAAAAAAAATTGTAATAACATGAAATGATCTAAAAACAATAATTATTGGTTCTAAGCGAATTAATTTCATATCATTTTATCTACTTAATCTTACTTCAATATTTTTTTTTGTAGGGTTGTGACGCTTCTCTCCTTATTGATTCAACCACATCCGAGAAAACCGCTGGACCAAACGGAAGTGTCAGAGAATTTGACCTGATCGACCGGATTAAGGCTCAGCTAGAGGCTGCATGCCCATCCACAGTCTCATGTGCTGACATCGTCACATTAGCCACACGCGACTCTGTGTTATTAGCAGGAGGCCCGAGCTACAGCATCCCTACGGGAAGGCGTGATGGTAGAATCTCGAACAATGTTGACGTAGCTTTACCAGGTCCAACAATCTCCGTCTCCGGAGCTGTGAGTTTTTTCACGAACAAAGGGTTGAACACGTTTGATGCTGTGGCGCTTTTGGGTGCACACACCGTTGGTCAGGGAAATTGTGGTCTCTTCAGTGACCGGATCACTAACTTCCAAGGAACCGGAAGACCCGACCCGTCCATGAATCCAGCTTTGGTAACCAGGTAATTTTAAACATGCATGCTTCAATCTTACATCCACTACCACCGAAATCATAATTAATTTGTTTCCTTGGTTTAAGAGTATAATTTATTAATTTCTTAAAATTTTAACTTCACTTTTTGGAATATTTACCATTAACTTATATAAATATATATATATATATATGTCGTATATTTTAAATATATCCAATTATAAGTTTTAAAAGATTATATTTTCTATATTGCACATTAGTCAAAGAAAAAAACAAATTTTCAAATAATTAATTCCAAGATGTTTGGTTTCTTAAAACCATTAATTATTTCGGAAATATATTAGCTCCAACCCTAATCAAAATTATGTCCACGTTTTTATTGAGTTATTTCATCTCATAAAAATATATTATAACTTTTTTTTATGTGAATGTAGCCTAAGGAACACATGCAGAAACAGTGCGACAGCGGCACTAGACCAGTCGACTCCATTGAGGTTTGACAACCAATTCTTCAAACAGATCCGTAAAAGAAGAGGAGTGTTGCAGGTTGACCAACGTCTCGCATCCGACCCACAAACTCGTGGGATTGTGGCTCGGTATGCTAATAACAACGCCTTCTTCAAACGTCAGTTCGTTAGAGCAATGGTGAAGATGGGAGCCGTTGATGTGCTTACCGGTCGTAACGGTGAGATCAGAAGGAACTGCAGGAGATTCAACTGATGAGCTCGAATCACACTACAAATTTATTGCATAAATAAGGCTTTTTATATTTTCTAATTCGTTTGTTTTGGTTGGGGGTTTATTGCAGAAATAAGGCTTTTCTTAAATTGGATGGTTTCGATTTTTGAGAAAGATTACTATATATTATAATGTTGGTCTTTATTTGGTGGATGTATCTTTAACTATACAAATATTTTGTCGTATTAAAAATATTGATATGTATCTATATCATGGTTAATCATATATATATACCGATACAATCATAGCAAGAGGTAAAATTGGCTTTTTCATTACAAATAATACGATAAGAAGAATCATCAATTAATATTCATGAAATTTGTCACTTTTGAAGTAAAAAAAATAGAGCAAAATATAAGTAAAACACAAAAAAAAATATGCATATCCAATCTTTAGTTAACTTTTTGTTTTCTGCTCTTTCCCTGTAGTTAACTACAAATCTACTCTTATCGACTTAGCTAGATTAAATTTTCAGCATGACATATAATATAAAGTTATAAGTATATATATATATATATATATATATATATAATCGGGGCTTTGAAATGGGCTAATGTTAATGTTATCAGTTTGAAATTTCACTTAAATTAAAGAAATCTTTTTGTTTTCACAAACTGTTGTAGTCTTGTAGAGATCCACGAAAGTACGAAAAGTGATCAAATGCAATCGTCTCGGTTATGCTTGCCGTTCTGCAGTAACATTAGACAAAAAAAATGGACAAACTAACAGTGTATATTAGTTCTTGTTCTGGTTATTAATGGATAATTGTAGTCGTGCCAACGTCGATAATCAACAGAAGCGATAAAAAATAAAATGTTTCCCCTTATAAAAAAACGTTTACAATAATTACCATCATTAAAAACAAAGACATGTAAATGACTAAAATTACCAAACAAATAGTATTTGAAGTAGCATTTTTTCTTTCTTTTCAACATAATCATTAACTAAATTCTTACAATCAAAGTTTATAACTGATGACAAAAAAAAAAAGTTTATAACTAATATAATCATACTTCATTGATGAATGGCTAAGTCATTCAATATGTCATGTGGTATACTCAAGTTGATATACGATAACCAATTCAACAATCTTATAATATTTCTATATTATATTGTTTACATAGCTATTTATAAAACCATAATTTTTATTGTGTAAGCCATAAATATCAAAAAAGTTACAATGTTTAAGTGTATGTTTCTATAGCCATAGTATTTGATTTGAGTACATATAAATAAAAATGAAAAATATGCCCTTAAAAGTTTTCAAAAATTTATATGCCCTAAGCCAATGTTTTATTTTTTTACATTGTGGCACGGCTATTTGTATGGCTAAAGAATAAATATTGTTTAATACAAACGCAGAACCTTAGTGATTATTTACGCACTACATATGTCCATATGCCATGTGATCGATCAACACATCTTCTCATATAAATTTTAATAAAGGTATGTCTTTATTAATATCATGCATGTATATATATAAAGGGAGAGTCCGTACCGTACATGTTACAGAGCAGGACCACATAAGAAAGATTTCTGAAGAAGAAGTCTCAAAGTCTTACAAGATTTTGGTCATCAGGACCACAAAGAGAGTGGCTTAAAGATAACTTTTGTGAATCCTCGTACAGTCTCTGCCTGATCCCTAGGGGTCTACTTTATTCTTACTATAAGACTTTTACCAATGTCAATGTTTTATTTTCCGATACGTCATGACGTATTGTGGGCATATATTAACTAGAGACTCATTTGTATTAGATTGTGAATCTAGATTATTATTTTATTACATTTATAATTTCAATTACTCTGTTTTGAGGATTTTAATTATATCCATTTATCTCTACAGTTTAACAAAATATATAGGTACATTACTAATTAAGTGGGGTTTGGACTAGTCACAAGTTTTCGGATCCTCCAAAAATTATACGTCATTGAGCTTTCTAGTTCAATTTCTACTTGACATGAAGACAACTTATTTTTCAACGGGAAAATATAGGGGGTTTTGGCTCATAACTGTTCGATTTACCGTAGTGAATTATAGAAGATTTAAGTGCATCAATATATCTAATATGTATATATTAGCTTTACTTCAAGTCTTCAACCTCCCCAAAGCAGCTTTCGGATTGTTGTTTTGAATGATGGGAAGTATATGAATACAACTATGGCCCTCAAGAAATTCAATAGAACGAAACATATAAAAGGAAGAAAAAAGGACAAACAGCTAGAGAAGTTATAAAAGACAAGTAATACCCAGTTGTATCAAATCAGTCACATTCAGTAATGTAAAATATATAAAAAAATTGCATAACCTTTACCGCTTAGAAATATATGATGTAAGAAAAAATGTTAAAGAAAGATGTGCAGCAGACGTAGGGCCTGATTGGTAACAGCTGTAGCTTTACTTTTTTTGCTGTAAAAATATGACTGTAGGTTTATTTGTTGTGGCTGTAAATTTTATTGCTGTAGTATTTTGGCTGTAGAATTTAAAATTTTGGAAAGTTGAAAATTATGTGCTTTAGGAAAAAAGGCTTTCTACAGCCAAAAAAATGAATTAAGGAAATATTTTGGCTGTGAGAAAAAAAAGGAAAGCCAAAGCTTCTAAAGCTTGATTGGATGAATTTCAAATCTTTAGAAATTTTTTTGCTTTGTAAAGACTCTAAAGCACTTGCCAATCAGGCCCGTAAGCAATGTAGCTGTTTTGATTCCTTTTATTTAAACAAGTCACGGGAGGATTAGTTCACTACTCCTAGAAGTAGTTTGGCTGTTTCCTCATGTGTGCATGAATTCTAAAAGGGAATTATAAAACCTAGTAAAACAAATATAGAAGGGAATTTCAGTAAAAGTGTGTATACATTACAAGTGGTAGGTCTAATTTATGAGCTAGTATACATAATATTTGTATTTTTAAGTTGTAATTTCTATATCTGACCATAAACCGCAATTCCTTTTAAAACATTTCATTAGATATTCATATTCTTAACCAAAAATATCACTAACAAATTAAGATAGCATTTTGATAAAAAAAACAAATACATGCCAAATAATTTGATTCTTATGATTTTAAAAGGTTGCCATTTGAAAAAAAAAAACAAGATAAAGTACAAAGAAAACCCGTTTTTTTTTAAATCTCATACAGTATATGCATGTTTGAATTTGGATCTAAACACACAATAACTACATTAACACACGTGCCTTAGTAAGAAAACTGGAGTTTTATATAGTATTTTGAGAAAATAGAAAAATAAATAAATGAAACAGCTAAGCAACTAACATAAATCGTCAAAAAAACCAGAATGCATCTGAAAGAAAACAGATTGTCGCCGATTGTATGAATCTTTCAACACTCTTTACCTTTTAACGTATATTATATTTGCATACGTACATGCACACTTCCCAATACATACACATACGGTACACGGACAGCTTTATTATTAATCAAAAGGCGGTAATTCAAAATAAATATTATCAATACGATATCATTTTATCAAATTAATTTTTTATAGAGTTGATTTGTGTTCACATAAGCTTACAATTGTTTTGTTTTGTTTATTCTTGTTTATTCGAGTTTTAGATTTTATTGTTTAAAAACGTTAAAGAGGCAAAAAAAAAATTTTTTTTTTTTTTTTGCATACTTCTCGTTACGAGAAAGATTTAAAATTTCAGCTGGTTTATCTTTCTTCTGAAATGATCGTTTGATGTCAATATGGATTTAAATACACACCAGCTAAACCAAGGTCTAGCCAATTAATGTACCAAGATATATTGATTGCTGTACCACCTTGATCTAATAAGTAATTCTCGTGGATATACTAGTAAAGTACTTTTCATTGGTCATTGGTTAGATACAACGCAAGCGTAACTTGGAAAACTAAATTCAAAGGTGAAACAAAATCCTAAATATCTATTTCTTGTCATTTTTATTGTTAGTTTATAAAATTTCTCGATCAACTATATGATGTATTTAAATAACTTGTTGATATTAATTATTTCATTATAAGAGTTTTTTCGAGTGAAATATTTAAAAATGACTCTACATAGTTTTGATCGGCTAATGTTGTTATATATGTGCGTAAAGTATATATTCACAAACTTGTCATATCAATCAAAATCTCAATAAAAGACAAGTTCTACTTGACAAACAAAATCTTTTTGGCCTCTGTAACTCTGTTGCATGACGTCAATAATCTAATGTCCACATTTATATCTAAAAAGTAACCAGATCGCCTTTGGACAATAATTTGCTATTTAATAAAGATAAATTTATGAAGAACTTGCTAAAACATCTTGATCATATTTACAGCAGAAAGCAAGACAGCCATAACCGGTGTTTTCGCAATTGTATAATCAGATTTTGCTATACGAATTTGCAATTTCTTTACATTTGTTTGGTGTGAATATGCAGTATTAACAATCTGAGAACACAAATATAAGTTTATTTAAATTAAAGACTGAGAAAAACGTGAACGTTTGTTTGTGAGTTGGTCCAATAATGCAATGGTGTGGAAGCATTTCTTGCTAGTTTTGTTATACCATCAAATGATAAGCATTTCTTGCTAGTTGTAACTCGCCTTCGGAGTACGTGTTACCATATTCGACCGTATCCTATATAATATTTAAATCTAAGTGAGAGCACAAAAATAGTGTGACTTAATATTTAAGGAAAACAAAAAAAAAACTCATTGAGAAACTCTCTCCTATAAATTCATTACATATTACATAAATCTTCCCTCAAGTAACCACAACATCTCCTTCTTCTTTTCTTCTTAATATCCATAATCCAACCAAAAAAGAAAAAAAAATAATAATCAAGCAATCTTGATAGCAAATGGATCAAGAAGGTGCATCGCATAGTCCATCCTCCACTTCCACCGAACCAGTCCGGGCACGTTGGTCACCTAAACCGGAGCAAATCTTGATACTTGAATCTATCTTCAACAGTGGTACTGTTAACCCACCAAAAGATGAAACGGTGAGGATAAGAAAGATGCTTGAGAAATTCGGTGCAGTAGGAGACGCAAACGTCTTCTACTGGTTTCAAAACCGAAGGTCAAGATCTCGCCGGAGACAGCGGCAGCTTCAAGCAGCCACCGCCGCTGCTGTCACCTCCATAGGAGCTGAAGACCACCAGCACATGACGCCCATGAGCATGCATCAATATCCTTGCAGCAACAGCGAGATTGGTTTGGGGTTTGGAAGTTATAGCAACTCATCAGCTAGTTACTTCCTTAATGGATCGTCTTCATCGCAAGTCCCTTCCTTTTTCCTCGGACTCTCTTCTCCGAGTGGTGAGTATGAGAGCAACAATGGTATGGAGAATCTCTTCAAAATGTATGGCCATGAATCTGATCATCAGCAGCAGCATCACAGCTCAAATGCTGCATCAGTTTTAAACCCATCTGTTCAAAACTCCAATTTCCAAGACCAACAAGGTGACTCATTCATTTGCATGGCTCATAGATTTTGGTTTTCTAGATATTGAACCGGAACCCTTTCCAACTAAATCAACATTTGTCTTACCATTTAAATAATAAATAAATATCATGTTTTAGAAATTAATTTTTTGAAAGTGAAAAAGAAAGAGCAAATTTTTTTCTAGGAGGGTTTCAAATCAATTTTTTTTATTCTAGGCTTAACATCTTGTATGTTGAGAGCTAATTCTCAAATCTCTATTTTTGTTCTTGTATATAATTTTTTTCTTTCTTTCCAAAAGGGTTTATGACGGTGTTTATAAACGGAGTTCCGACGGAAGTAACAAAAGGAGCAATAGACATGAAAGCAATGTTCGGTGAAGATTCGGTGTTACTTCATTCCTCTGGTCTTCCTCTTCCCACTGATGAGTTTGGTTTCTTGATGCATTCTTTACAACATGGCCAAGCTTATTTCCTGGTAACTAAAATTAATTTACCTTTTTCATTATTAATATATACACTATTAACACTCATAAATATTTTCGTAAATGATTTCCAGAACTATTTTTTTGTTTTGTAATCATCCGACGACGATTAATTTAACCATAATTTTTGACCAAAAAAAACATAATTCATATTTGTAACCAAAAATATATATGATATAATAGATAATATTTATGTCCTATAAATTAGTATGCAAAAGTGTAAAGAAATGTCTGCAGAAATTAACCTCAAGAACCCATCTCACTCTGTAACTATAATATAAAATATTTAAATATTTCTACAGAAAATATAATAAAATATAATCAATTTGATGATTGTCGGTTTATGTAATAAATGAATATCATTTTTGTAGAAATTAATATCTGTAACTGAAGTTTTGTGATTTAACTAAGCTTTACGGATTTGATGTCAGCTCATATATGTAACCTTTTTGGTTTGGTCAAAAATTTCGTTTTATAAACATGTTATATATTTTTTTATTTCTAAAAATAAAGAATATAGCTAGGAACACAAGAACCAATTAAGTCCTACTTTTTGAGGTGAATGTTGAGTATTATATTGAGTTCATTGGCAAAAGAGACCTTGGGAATTTATATTCTCTCTTGGTCAAATGAATTGACGGTGTCAACATTTTCTAGGAATATATAAAATGATGTTAATTTCTCGTTAGGGTTTTCAATATTGTCATTAATTAGTCAATTAGCGCTATTATAATTAAAATGCTCTAGTTATTCCCTAATTTTAAATCTGTTTTATGTTTTCATTTTGTCACAGGTACCGAGACAGACATGAACTGGCTATTCTTGTGTGGCAACATATACGTTCGGTCGATTGTTTTTCTTTTTTACTTATTGATTTCGTGTATAATTAGATTAAATATAAGAAAAAAAAAGATTAAATAAATGTTGGACTCGTCAGATATTTTGCTTTCTTGTCGATTCTTGCTCGCCTGAACACAAACCTTATCTAACAAAACAAGCCAAATCTTCAATTAGAGATCTAGTTTTGAGGAAAAAGATGCCCCTCGGACTTGATATATTTAAGGAAAATTTGGATGTATAACCAACAAAAAAATATAAATTAAGAAACTAACCTTAAAAAAAAAAACTTACATTATAACATCTGTGTAATATATATTATTACAATTTTGCCCTCACCACTAACCACCACCAATGGCCACCACCGCCGCTATCATCACCACCGCCGCCGTCGCCGGAGCCACCGCCGTCGCCGGAGCCACCTCCGTCGCCGGAGCCACCGCCGTCGCCGGAGCCACCGCCGCCGCCGGAATCACCGCCACCGCCGGAGCCACCACGTCGCCGGAGCCACCACGTCGCCGGAGCCACCGCCTCCGCCGGAATCACCGCCGTCGCCGGAACCACCGCCACCGCCGTCGCCGGAACCAGTACCACCACCTTTGGTCATTTCACCTACCCTTTAGGTTAGTTAATAAATTAATACATATATAGTGCTATATTCTTAATTTGTTTTTGAAAATGTGTTATTTTTGCAAATCACTCTATATTTAACGGTAATAAAAAAAAAAAAAACTGATAAGTTACATTAATCTTGATTTTTAATGTAAAATTATATAATAGATCATCTTAGTAGCTGATTTAATCTATTTATCCAATCTAAGAAAGATATTAAGGTACTTTATACCATTCTCGATTGAGGATTATTATTTCTGTTTATTCTAAAGGATAACATTTAAAACACTTCCCAAGCACATATCTTAGACCATATGCAACGCAATAACTTATAGGATAGATCTTAGAATATAAAAATTATTAAAATAATGTTCTTTTTTCTTTTTTCCAACAAAAATTAATCATTAACCAACAAATGACCCTAGAACTAGTATTAGAACAGATCTTGATGAAGACCACAATTCAGCTTATTCTTCTACTGTTTGAATATTTTCAATTTTTTAATATCTAAGATCACTACATCAGTTGCCCCGATAAATATGTCCTTACCAAGTGAACAATTAAACAATGTAGAAAACTAAATGAATGACGGAATGCGAGAGCTGAAAGTAAAGTATATATGAATAGAAATTAGTAATTTTTTTTTCTGGGATGTCAATTTTCGATTTGATATATGTAATATTGAAAGAAGGGTAGGGTTAAGTTCAAAATTTCGACTAGAAACGAGTAAGCCCACTTATATGTGAGCTTATTGGGCCCTTTGTAAATGAACGATAAGGTTTCTAATGTTATAGGCCCCAATTAACTATGTCCCTTGTATAATTTGAACGGCCAATAGGGATCCGACCGAGCCGAGTAATTTGAGATTTTTATTTAAAACAATAATTCATATTAATTTTCCGCATTGATTATTTACTTCTAAATTTATGAATATTATTTATATATAACATATTCCAAAAATAACATATAACATCTTCCGTGTAAATGCACTATAAAATGCAATAGGTTTATGATCAAAGCTTGTAATTTACCAACAAAAAATGATAAAAGCTTGTAACTCAGTGGTTTTAGTTAGTGTTGTTGTTTCATAATTTATGTCCAATTTGCGTGTGTGAGTCAAGTAAAAAATGCAATATTTTATGGAAACTTATTTTAGTTCTACTGGAAAGAGGATAATTATATTCAAATTTTTATTTTATTTCTTAATTACTAACTTCTTGAATTTTTTTTTCCAGTTTTCCCACATACCCCAGCCAACTTCTTCCAAAGCCCAAATTAAGATGTTGAACAAACATGCCTAAAATTAACAAGGAAAAATAGAAGAAACTAAAGCCATTTTTATCTCACAATTTCCCTCAACATTGAACCCTAGTTCTGCAACTAATTAATCAAGAAGCTCCAACTCCAAGAAAATCAAAGAAGTAATAGCCATTCTTCATCTTCAGCTCCACCTTTCTTTCACTGACTGAGATTGTGTGGTGATTTTGATGGTCCATCTTTTTACCATATATGCCATTTACTTCTGCTCTCTGCACACACTGACCATCTTTGCCTGCAAAATTAGAAAAATAATTTCTCAGCCCCCACGTGAAATTTTGTTATATTGAAATAGTAACGTGACAATAGTACTTCACCTCCTTATATTATTATGCCTATAGGTACTCTTACGATGTAAAAAACTGTTTCTTTCTTTTCTTGTCATTCAAATTTATAATTATTGCCATTTATATGAAAATTGTAGGAAGTGGTCACTCGTCGTTGGTTATACAACATGTCGGCCAAAATTATCTTTTAATATGCTTTGAACATTCAAATTTTAACAAGACTGGAATCTAAGCTAAATTTTGAGCACAAATCATATTTGGGAATACCGGTTAAAGTATAAACCGAACATGATCAACGATACACCCAATAAAGATTGCAATCTGATCTCGACCAACCGACCGAAATCATTATAGTTAGATTCACAAAAACACTTCTCAAGAAAACCGAAAAAGAAAATAAAAACATTCCATGTTTCTATATACTTTAAATGTCTCAACAAGGTCATGAAAATAATTTATTTTCAATAAAGACAAAAAAAAGTAAAAATAATAAAATAAATATAAGCAAACAAATAAAATGTTACCTGATGCAAGGGTATTATCGTAATTAAAGAAGCGAGGCTGGTAAGCTGAAGAAGGCGGAGTGAGAGAGAGCTCCGTCGTACAAGTAGACACAGCTGAGCCATCGTCATCGTCATCTTCATCATCTTCTTCATTGATGAACTTACCTTGAATATAGCGGCAAGAGGACGAAACAGCGTCTCTTGACAGCGCCGGAGGAGGCTGTTGACGTTGTCGTTGGCTTTCTCTAGTCCGTCGAGCCATGATGACGTGCCAGTGGTTCTTGACGGCGTTATCGGTACGTCCGGGGAAGAGACGAGAGATCAAAGCCCACTTGTTCCCATAGGCTCGGTGAGCTGCTAAAAGCTTAAACTCTTCTTCCTCCGTGAAGGCTCTCTTGTTAATCCTTGGGTCTAGTTGGTTAAACCATCTCAATCTACAACTCTTGCCTGTAGTCAAAGAAGCAACATTCATTAGTTACGTATCCCTCAAATTATATAAATTAGTTACTATCAAGCATTATGTCACTAGCTAATATGTATTGTTGTATACTTAGTCTAACTCGTTTATTATATCATAAAAGCTATGTTAAAAAACAATCCAAACACGGTTACGAAAATGCTTAATAACTTTGGAAACTCAACTCACCAAAGTTTTTTTTAACATATTTAATTTTTTTCTACTTAAAAATAGTTACATTTACGGAATTTTGAGTAAGAAAAATGAAGGAAATAATTAAGTAAACAAAAAAAAGTAAAATAAATGTACCTGATCTACCAAGAAGGTGGTGAGCAATCAAGTTCCAGTTTTGGGGACCAAACTGGGCAACAAGCTCCTTGAGTTTAGCATCTTCTGTTGGTCTCCAGTGTCCTCGTGAGCATACTTTTGTGTTAATTCCACTTTTACCCCTCATTCCTAAACTCTTTTCGTTTTCACCACTCTCTTTCCCATGTTCATCTTCCGACTGCAAGACTGAGGCTGATTTGTTATGAGAAAGGTTTCTAGAGATAGAGAGGTTGTTGAGTGACGTTTTACAAGCAGCAGTGTGTGAGTTTGGTAGAGATCCGA